CGCCGCCAAGCGCGCCTGTGCGCGGCGGGGGGAGCGGGGAGGGGGCCCGGGCGGGCCGAGCGCCAGGCTGGGGCCGGGGGAGCCGCCTCGGAGCCGGTCGCCGGCCGCCCGCGCTCCCTACGCCCTCGCGGCCGGCGGCGGCATCCGGCACCGCGGGGCCCGGCGTTGAGGGACGGGACGAGACGGTGGTTCCGCGCCCGGGGTCACGGCCCGGCCCTACCACACCACAGTTCGGGGGAAAAAGCACGACTTCTTGTCCCCGATGCTCACAGCAGCAAGCTGTGCAAAGGAGCGTTTGTTCTCCCCTGAGACAAGGGAAGGCCAGCCGAATTTCTAACTCAGTTGGCTGTTACTTCCAGCTTCGCATATACATTTCAGAGAAAATACAAAAGCACAGGCAGACGCAAAAAAATGTCAAAAGGGCATCCCAGTGACCTGGTGCAGCATCACTGTCCTCATCCGCAACCAATAAGGCACCTCAGCGAGGACCTCATTACAGGATCACACAGCAGTGCAATACTAAAACCACAGGTGTGGGGATTTAAAATCCATTCTTGCCCATATTACAATTTCAAGAATACAACTAACAGAAGAAAACCCTGCCTGCTAGTAAATTGGAAGAAACTGCAGGCACAAATGTGATGCTGAACAGCATCACTTCTTTCATTATTTTCAGTACACCCACATGAAGGCTAGTCTCCACCCAAGTAATACACTTAGCAAAGTATTGGCTAGTCCAGCAAAGAACAGCAAAAAAATTGTTCAAGAGAATTAATACGCATCCCTAAGGTAGTGTAGGCCATAAGCATGTACCATGTCCAGCTTACCATTAAACTGATGAAATCTACTTATAATTAACACTACGTACATACATTAAATACATGCAAAACCCACAAAATCTGCCTCTTAACAAAGTATTAAAAAAATAAATAAGAATTAAAATCCCAATCTTAGGTCTCTAAAACCTACAGTCTGTATGTAACTAAATCATACACGTTTAACTAAATTTAGAATCACTAGGAAACTTACCCGTGCCCACGTTGTGGACTTCTGCCTCAAAGTAAGCAATGTGGATTCAATTCCCATCTAGGTAGGTTTTTTTTTTTTTCTTTTTTTGTCTTAGCTTTGCAAGATGTAGCAGAACCCCATTACAGTATCTGTAGGATCTTGCTAGAATGAATATATCTTAGTCCCCATGTTACCCAGCTGTTCAACAGGTAGAAATGGCATACGCTTAGAACATAGAAGAACTTTCAAGTCTAGGGGAGCCTATCAGGTCTGTTCTCTGACTGACTCAAATGGGTTGTACACCTGAATTCTTCTAAGCTTATTCTGCTCAAAGCTAAGGGTACAAACACCTCTAATTTAGAAACCAACCTGTTAAATGGGCGCACAAATTGTTTTCAACGTATGTTTGCACAGAGTTGGTCAACTTCAAACACCATTAGGGACATAATAATCAACTGTTGAGTCTTTTTTTTTTTTTTATAGGTAATAAGAACATAGGTAACTGAAAGAAATGAATCTTTGTTTTATAAAATTTTGCCCTTACAGTTACATTTGACACGAATTTTGTTCATGGACAGTGGGATTCAGCTGCCTAAAAGTCTAATGGGATGTCCAAAATGTATGAATGAGTGGAAAAATAACTAAGAAGATAATCATAAAACTGCGTAATTGGAAGAGTGAGAGAGAGCATCTTACAAGGTGATACAATCAAAAAAACAGAGACAATTATCCCTTTTCCTCAACAAAATCCAATCTGTACTGGGTTCCCTCTTCAGAAATGCCAAGGAAAAGCTCAAAGCAAAAAGCAGCAACAAGCAACAACCAGGCTACTGCTAACAATGTGACATAACATATAAAATCAGAACCAACATGCATTATCTGCAGAGTGAGGATGCAATTACAAAGAAAGCATTGGTCAGAAGCACAGAATGAAAAGAATAGCAAGAAAACCACGACCACACCAAAGCAAATCTAAGATACCAGTGATCACAGGCATCTAAATATTAAAAGTCACAGCACCACATCAGAAAGAATGTACAAAAGCCAAAACACCACTCTGTGCAACAATTAAAAGTGTTTGTATCTGACAGGGAAGTAGCACCATCATAATAACCATAAGAGGACTAGACTTGCCCTTTGCCCTTCAGCTAAGAACACAAGCATTCCAAAGAACTGTGGGGCTTCTTGGCTCTCCAGGTAAGAGGGAGACAGCGGAAGCATAATGATGTAACCAGAAAGGCATTTACAATCGTAATGATTACTTTAAATGACACCAAGCTATTTCAAGCACTTTCTTCGCTTTTTTTCTTTCACATACCACTGCTTGATGTTAACATTGATGATTTGACCATGAATGGTTAAGTAAAACAGGAGCAGTGCCTATCCCTCTGGCTGATGTCCTGCAACTCTTCATCTGCCTGAAGAACAAAGAGCAGAGAAGTCTGAACAGGAAAGCTTTGTTCTCTGTGAAAATTTATTCATTTTAATGTAAGCAGCATGAGCACGTACCTTCAGTTAGCTCTTCTCTTGCCAGCACCAAGTATATTTTGACAGGATTGCCTCATCTCTTTCTCCTATACCTTTGCAAAGGAGAGGTAGAATATGAAATTCTCATATTCTACTCAAATTCTACAGTTACCCACAGATTGGTGAATGGAGCCAGAGGTCAGTAACAACCAGAGGTTTTTTAATTATGGCACTACTAGAGACTAAAAATGATGGAAAACAAAGTTCATGGACAAAATTCTGATACACTTGTACCTGACCCTTCTCGGGTCTTAACAGCTTAAACTGATAGCCTAGGATCTAAATAGCACAGTTTCTGTTACGATTCAGATGATGACAGACAAATATTTTCACGTATTTCTGATAGAAACTGAAAAGGAACTGGATGATTAGTAGGATACTGTCACTGAACATGCCTATAGAAAGGACAGGCAGTCACACAAGTAAATGGAGTGTAATTCTTCCATGCTTCATCCTCCAGTGAGACAAGATGCTTCTTCAAGCTGTTTGTGCGGATGTTAAAAGTATGAATATTTTGTATTTGTGCTTTAATCAGCAAGAAAATTATTAATGCTGATATGTAAAGGCGTTGTTCTTGGCTGCACAGAGCCTCAGAGGACATTATAATGTAGGCTTACAAGCAGTCCACATTCAGAAACTCTCTGGATTCTTTTCAATGAATTTTGGTGAATGCATTCTCAGCTATTCATGAAAAATTACCCTACCACTCAGTGCTTTGACAATTTGTAAATCTGCCTCAATATCTTTTAGGCCCAGACTGAAATGCCTACTGGTTTCTTACAGTAGTAAAACTGGTGAAACTTACCCATGTTAGATAGTTGTTACCAGAAAACAAAGCAAAAACGACAACAACAAATTTTGGCTGGAGATTTAGCCATCACAACAGAAGCTAAGTTACAGAGCTATGAAAAAACTGCCAGTTTTGGAGCCACAGTTCCATTTTTAGGGAGCTGAATCTATTCACTACATTTTGTTTTGAGGAAAAGAAAGGAGAATGAAAGGGATCTGGATAGATTTCTGGCTTTTCTACCAGTGCAAGTGTTTTCTACCTTTGCAAGTTGTACTTGCACAGGAAAGCCATTATAGTTCAGCCAATAACTGACAGTTGTGGAGAGCATAGAAAGTGCCATAATGCAGCTAAGCCATCAAGCTGGTTATAAGGAGAAATTCTGATTTATAAGTAAGAAATGCCAGTATTTTCATGTTTCTAAAAACGTTAGGATTCCATTTTGTCGTACTGTTTCATGCATCACCTAACATTAAAGAAAATGCTCGTTTAGAATAAGTGTTAAAATAACGCGCTTGAGCCTTTTTGGAAAACAGGAAAAATATTCAGGTCTCCAGTACCTTTTATTTCTTAGTTAGTGGCAAGGCAGTCAATTTTCCATAGCTTCATTTATTTTCATTATTCACAAAAGATATTACAAAGAAAGACTGTATTTTTAAAGAAAAAAATCTGAGCTGTTAGGTTCAACAAGGTGACTAAGACAAAAAGAAACAAGGGACTGCAGGGCTCACATTGCTGTATTAGCCAGTATTTCATTATTTGATGCATCGTGAGAAAATGAGAACCTAAGTGCCTCGGTTACACTCGTTCAGTGCTGCTAGTGTCAGTGGACTAGGTGGCTACACCTGACAAGAGAACCTTCCTTCCCTTTTGCCTCATTCTTTGGGATTCTGGAGTTGGCAAGAATACAGATTTTAATAAATATTCAAGCTTGTATGAAATCTGTTGCTTTTCTTTCTTAACTACTGGCTCTTCTGGTGGAGAAAAAAAAAAAAAAAAAAGAAAAGAAAAACAAATGCCTATCAGGGAACAATAGATTCTACACACTAAAACGCCCTTAAGAATCTCCAACATTTCAGTCAGAGAAATACATGGTCTTATTTAAAAACACTGTATTAGGAACCATTGCTCACTAGCTTGTGAGCGAGACAGAGTGGAGTAAAAATCACAAATGAACAGGAAAGCCAAATGGAAAAACTGTACTTGGCAGAGGTTGTCTTTGACAAGCCTTCCTGAGGAATAAGGAAAAATGCAGCTTCTCCTTTCTTTTTAATATAGATTTAAATCCACAGCAATGAAGGAAGAATGATAATTAGCACGTGTATTTATCAGCTCTTATACTGGATCTTTGGGAAGACTTTCTTCTTTCCTATGAGTTCCCTCTGAGAAAAGGCAGCTGTTTCTAACAGGCACTTGTCAGTCAGGCACACAACATAGTTAATCACAAAAATCTCTGTCCAGATAGATGTGCAACAATTTAAGTATGTAATAACTGTTAAATCAGGTATCCAGAAAAAGATAAACTTTCATAAATTATACAGTAAATAAACTGGATAACAGTTTTGTAATTATGTTTTGTTTTATAATTATCTTCTATACTTCTTTTCAAATGACTTTTAGTGCTCTCTACGAGTTACTATTTTTTCTGCATCCAGGTACACAAGGCCTTACTGATCTCTCAACGTTTGGATTGCTCATTCATTGATCATGCAGCATTCTGAGATACTTCAGATCAAGGGGCATTAGTACCTCTGCAAAGAGATTAGAATTCAACTGTTAGCATGACATACACTTCCTAGTGTACTTGCTATTAAAATATTTGGTAACTAATCTACATTTATGTATTTCTTTTATTAGAATATTTTATTGGTATTTTTATGCAAACAATGTATTAAACTTTGCATACACAAACTGAAACAGGCTTTGAAATATGTAGAAACATTTCAGCAGGCATGATCTTTAAAGGCCCCTTCTTCCAAGCAAACTGCTCTATTCTATCCTGCTGTAAAATCTACGTAGTTTAGAAATGAATTGGCAGGTATGTAATAACCCTGAAGAAAATACCTGTACAGGAACTTTCAGGCCTTCTATTAACTCATATCCTTATTCAGCAACACAAATTTGATCAATCTGAGTTACGATAAATTGCTCTCAGTACCAAGACTGACTGTTGTACAAGGTGGGTTTACATACTTACCGAATACTGCCTGTCCTCTGCATAACCTCCATAAGGTCTATTGCTGCCTGGATAGACAAAGCTGTCAAATTGCTGGGGTTGCTGGCTGGAAACATAGTCTGGTCTCCTCATTGGCTGAGCATATCTGGGGCTATGCAAAAGAAAAAAGACATTGTAAAGAAAGTATATGATGTAAATTAGAGTACTTGTTTAAATAATAAATAAAAATAATAAAGCCTGTTAACTGCATACATGATGTCGATGCTATTGCAGTAGAACAGCAAATTGTTCTGTCTTTTAAATTCCTTTTACTGCAAAAGACCACTCATCCTACAAAAGTGAATTTAAGGACATTAATTTGGGATTTTTTAAAAATAATACATCATGATAAGTTGACCATCAACATTTTCCACATTCATATTTAATAAATAAATAAATAAAAAATCAGGCCTTCTTAATGGACCAAAGTATTAGACAGCTCCAGACTGCAGTAGGACCCTGCTGCTTATGAGGAAAATGTTCTGCTATCATTTATTTGCCTCATGGGAAACATGTTCTCTGCAAAAACTGCTGGAGTATATGCAACAGTGGGCAGGTGTTAGTGAGGAAGATAAAAGTAAGAAAGCAAAACTAAGGAAAATGTTTCCAACAAAATAATTAAAATTTTTATAGACTAAAAACATACCTTAGCCTTTGGATAAACCAGTACTCTAGAATTTAGCTGCAGAAATAAATTTGCACCAACTTTTTCATTTTAGTATTATATTAGGAAAGCAGACTGCATCAACACACTTCAAAAACATTACATAATAATGTATTTGAAGTCAGAGAAAGCTGACAAGTTTAGTCCTGTCTGCCAGGTCATACTTACAACCTTTTCTATCACATTCACGCCACAAAATAATGTATGCAAGTTACTTAGTCCAATGCTTTGGCATTTACTGGATCTCTGTCATGGCACTAGCATGACAGAAATGACTACACAGAAATGATTGGTTTTCAAACCCAAGGATCAAGTGAAAATAAATAAAGAAAAATAAAGAAAAGATGGAAAAATAACAGCATACCTAGAATTATCTAAGTGACTCGGGCCTGGGAGATCTTCAAAATCTTGTCTTCTCAGTACAGCTTTCGGCAGTTGCCCAGTCCAGGTGACCTATACATAAGGGTTGCACACAGCAAAATAACAAATTACAAACATAGGTCACTAGGCACAGCGCACTCACAGTTGTCTTTGGTGGAAAATGTATAGGATGACTTCTTTATTGGTAACAAAATATATAACAAAAACAGTACAGACATGTTTTAACATATATAAATTCAATTTATCTAAAAGATTCGCTAGAAGGAAGACCTTTAAGTATTTGAGCAATGTGGAAAATGTATGCCTAAAGGCATACAGAGAAGTACCCAGGTAAGTCTGCACAATTAAGGTAAACTAGATATTAAGGGTCTTATCGAGTCCAGTGAGTTCCCTTGAGTTTCTTATGATTAAACATTTCAAGAAGATGCCACTCCACAAATAACAGTGGATTCACCTCAGATTTATACAACACCACGTCTAAAATTAAACTAAATACAGTGATTGATAACGAAAGACCAATGAATACTGCTGCTTAAACCGGCTTCTGTTTTCCCAGACATATTTCTAGAGAACGAATGAAAACATCATGAACAAACAAGAAGTCTGTTCATCTTAAAACTAATACATTATATTTGTTTCTAAAGGTATCTTTGTTTAAAAAAAACCTGATGACCTGAGGCAATTTTCAAAATGCAGCACCCTCAGGAGAGGAGCAGTATTCAGGGAAGACTGCTTGCAAGAGCAAGCGCTGGAGCTATCATACCAGACTCTCTGCAGAAAACAACCCTGTCCCAGTTGAAACTAAGACACAGATACAGATCACAGTTTTCTCTCTCTCCTCCCTCAGGCAGTTTTGGTTAAGGTTCCCCAGTTTACAGAATAATACATGCACAGGGCTGCCACGTTGGCAGCTCACATATTCATGACCATCACATCTAACAGGGAGACGAGGCAGACAGATTCATCTGTTTCTGGGCTTCAATGTACTGTCTGGATAATGATGAAGTAGGACATACTACAGCCATCATCCAGAGTAGATCATTTTACAATAAGATTTCTTTCCTCAACTAGACATGCAAAATTTGGTCTAACTCCTGCCTTAAAAACTATAGCATTATTTACATGCTATTCAGAATTAATTACAAATTAAACAGCACCACCTGCTGGTGTAGGTGTCTCATACCATTTTTTTTTCCCATTAATATACTCAATTTCCAAGGTATTAATATTTCACAAACATATTTAACAGGAAATAATACATCTGACTACATTCTTTTCTTTCTTTTCCCTATGGCTTATAAAGTGTCCTCAGACAGTATACACTCTTTAAATAGTCACTTCAAATACAGAATGAGGAAGTGAATACAAAGACACAAAAACGTAACTCCCATTCATCTTTCTTTTTATTTCACACTTCCTGTTCTGATTTTGAGAAGTATTTATCCACCTCCTCTTGTGCTAACCACCAGTTCAAGTGAGAACCTCTGCTGTAAAGTGCACCTTGCCTAAGAGAAACCTGTCACAGCAGTTACCCTAGTCCAGAAGGCAACACCTGGTCCTTCATGGATCCACATTCAAAGAACATTGCTGGACTACTTAATTTTTGAAAAAGCACTATTTTTTGCTTAAAACTTCTGCCTAGTTTCATTTGACACTGCTTAGTTCAACATTAAAACAGAGAACAGTCATTTCTTACACTGTCTCTTCTCATACAGAAATCACTACTGATGACTCTGAAATTCCAGATGTACTACATGTTCAGCCAGTCTTTCCTCTGGTGAAGAGTAGCTGGTACACAAATGAAACTGTAGGTGCAGCCCATCAAGCAGCTTTAATGGGTTCAAATCTGACAGTAACAATTTCTTCCTCTCTGGCTACACACTACTGCCCTTTTTCTTGCACTGGCGTTATTACCAGTAATAGCATGCAATGATTGAGTTTCTGAGCTGATCAGGCTGAAAGCAGCTCACCTGGCAGCTAGAAGAGAACAGTGATGAAACAAGGAAAGAGGCCAGAATATGTGGCTTGAGCTCATATCCAAGATTTTTCTCTTTTTAACACTGATATTCTAACTGGCCAAAAAAAAAACCCTTTAATTTGAATATAGTTTCAAAATAACACCAAGTTCTTTGTTTTCTCCTATGCAAGCTAAATATATTTCATGTTTGATGAAGAGGTTCATGCATTTAGATGACCTTGGAAATCAAATACTGGACAAATAAAACTAAGATCTTAAACTGAGGTTATCTTTAGTTTTACAAGATGACAGCTTCATGCTATTCATACACCACTCTGTTGAACCACAAGGTCACGTTCAATTTCCACTAGAAAGAGGAACATGTGATGCACAGCACGCAACATCTCTTACCCTTGGTGACTGCTGAGCAGCATGCCCCAGGTTACCAGACAGTTCGTGACTAAATGTAGGGTTGTGGTGTACTTCATGGTACGGAGAATTTGTCTGCTTCCTGGTGGGCAGGAAGAACACGAATTGAGAGCATCAGCAATAGTTTGGTGGGTCATAATGAATCTTTTTGGGCTGCAGATTTGTTCACAAACTGTACCATCAACTGAGATTTATTAGGGCAATGATACTTGCAAGCTATGTAATACTGCAGTTCTTCAATAACACAGGACAAACCAGGAGTACATGCTAACAGGACACAAGGAAAGATGGAAAAAATGAAATATTTAGCATGGAATTGGGAGAGACTCCAATGTAAACAAAGAAAGTGTTGAAAGCAAAGAAAAGCTCAAATTGTCAGTGGTTAGTGTTTAATCTGCAACACTTGTCAGTGTTTAGCAATCTGATTTCCCTTTTTGTTTTCGAACATGAGGAAAGCAAGCCAATCCTTCACAGCAAACACAGCAAGAAAGACTTGGTAGTCTTGAGTTAGAAGTAGTAAATGCACTGATTAAAGAAGAGAGACAACGACTTCGAATGAAGTTGTGAATAGTGTGGTAAAAGATGAATAACTTAAGGTGCTTGATTTAGGATTAAATTGTGCAAGGAATACTTTGGTAAAGGATGCTATATGGTAAACTTGTTGATTTAAATATCAAGAGGTTACAAATTAATCAGAATACCGGGCTACTTTTGTTTTATTTTAGTTTTGATTGTAAAAACCTTTTTAACTGTATCCAGAGTAACTTACCCAGCTTTTTTACCTTTACAGCAATAGACACACTGAAATATTGCAACAACTATGAAAACCAGGGCTACTGCAGGAAGAACAGATACTAGTATTAAATCCAGTGTGTTCCAAAGCTGGTTACATTTAGGGCCCATGTACCAATACTCCATCCAGCCCTCTCTGTAGTAATCACATCTGCAAATAAAAACATTTAAAATCATGCTGCTAAAACGTAAGTAATACAAAAAAAGGAAAAAATATCTTATTGTAGAATTATTCACTATTGGACACTGCAGGAAACCAGAGATTCAGTATTTTTTCAGTTCCTCTAAAGATGTTTCTGATCTGAGAATGCCTACCCATCTTATTCTGGATATGATGCAAATACAGGGTCAGGACCAACCAAGAACTGCATATCCAAGTTGGCACTGCAGCAATTCCAAGATAATATAATAAGCTTTGCTGAGAAAAGAGAATGTAATCCTAGTAGTCACAGGGCAATTCTGGTCAAAGATCTTTTCATCATCCATAAGCACATGAAACCTTCACTATCTCCAGAACAGATATACAGATATCTTACCTCAGTTAATATGCAATGCCTGTATTGAGCAGGATATGATTTAAAATATGTACATTTATAGTTTCAAGTAGCATTTTATTTGCTGGAGTTGCAGTAAAATTTAGGCAGTATGTTCAGTTATCTAATCTGATACATTGGGTAAAACAGGAGGTCACATAAATAAACAACAACATGATGACTGGGTCACAGAGAAGTTATTTCTTTGAGTTAACTAGTTAATTAGATGAGCTTCCTAATTCTGACCAGTTATTTTCTTGCTGACTTCCTACAAGTTTAACTGTCAAATTATATGACAAAAAAACAACCCACAGTGCCATATTTTCTATTCACATGGTGATTTTTTTGTTTAAAAAGGAAAAAAGCAAGCACATCTTGGAGAATAAAATGTTTATACATATGATTTTCTAAAAGCTTTCATTTTGATTAATCTGAGGAAAAAACTTGTTATTACATATTTCAGTTCTAAAGCACAATATTTGAGACAATAGCAATTTGTGGGGAAATTGAGGTTTATAGTAATTATATAAATGATTAATTACATATTGTAAAAAAAAAAAATTAAACTTTACATTCAGACTTCAGTTGTGATGCTTTCAGCAGTTGTGATTTCATGCAGATTGTGAATGAAGATCGATACCCATTTTCACAGAACACAGTGCTGGGTCTAAATTTTGTTCTTCATTAACAATATATTCCACAAGCACATTTACATGAAAAAGACCACTACAACCTACCTGCAAAAAGGTTTTTCATTTTTACACTGACAAGGAACTTTGGCAGGACAGAAGCCGTCGCTATTACCACTGCAGTCACCAAAGTCCTCAATTGCAGTGCAGTTGGCTGCAAATTAAACACAACAACAATAATAAAGAAAAACAACTTAAGACTTTTGTATGGTAGCATACTGTTACCAATGTGTATTTCCAATTACATCAGAAATTTAAGCTTCATATGATATACTCTGCAAAAAATACTAGATCTTAATTTCTAGTGACTTGTCCCTTAAAACTTCTGTAATGACTGGAGAAATTAAGGCTTACCAGCTCAAATTACTTTGAGTTTACAACAACCTTCCAGACAGCCAAAGTGTATGGCTGATATGATTATAATTTTTATCACATTATTTAAATATGACTATAGATAAATTATAGTGTGTATAATCTCTGGATCATTGCCAAAGACAAGAAATCATTAAATCCATTTGGGACTCAAATTCTCAAACTATAAACTCAAGCAAAACCTTATTGCATGGTTTGCTTTCAGATTATTCTTCCTCATTTTAGTATAATAAAGGATTTATTTTGCATTAATATGGTTTCTCCTCCCACTCTTTTACTGTATATGCATTGTGGGTTGTAAATTATGATCCAGAAGTCAACTGCTTACAGTACTACAGAAGCACATGGATGCCCAAAAATAATCACCTCACCAGGAAACCTCTGTCAAACCTCAGAAGTTATCACATTTGACATTTCAGCCCTACACAACCCTACACATTTTTTGCTATCTCTTTTTCTTTCCTACACAGGATTTGGCCTGAATGCTGTACTCATCATTCGCACCAACAAGCTGCAAGCTGAACCAGAGGTTCTGGTACAAAGCTTGCAAAGTCTAACATAATTCCTGCCTGCAGTAAAGCATTTAGGGACACACACCTGAAATCTTTACATGGAATGTACAGCTAAACGACCAACTAGAAGGCACCACTAGAAAAGGTAAGGAAGATAATTAGAACTGAAAGACTTGCAAGGCTAAGCACCGTTATGAAATTCAGAAAAAAAAACAACAACCAACCAACCCAACAACCAATACAGCTGAATATTATTTGCAAAACTTTTCACCATAAGATAAATTTTTAAAGTTTGAATTAAGGCCATAATATTCAATTTCACTGAAGAACACCCTGCTGAGTCATTCACAATATAACAATATCTTTTATTTTTAAAGGGGTTAAGAACAAACATTTACAGGAAATCCTCCCATAAAACAATCTTCCCAATCCTATACATAAAACAAGCAGTTAACACACAAACATCTTAATACTTCATTGCTTTTCGATAATTAAAAACTCTCTCTACCTAAACAGTTAAGAGAACGTACTCAGAAGCAACGCCACTGGGCTTGCAATACTTCAGGAGTGCCTCTAAAGGTTAGCCAAGTACTCAATAGAAATATTACTATTCTAGCAAACTATAAAGCAAAAATGTATTTCTTACGTTCTTGACTCAGAGAATCACCAGCCACCAATAGAATGAAAAACAAGACTTTAAGAACGGACATCCTGTTGGCAAGTGTGGTAATGACGGCTTCTCCCAGATGTTGTTAGCAGCAGAATGAAGTTTCTGTTACTGCTGTTGACCACAGCAAGTCAAAGATCATGGATTTTGAGCTTGCTTTATAGCATCATTCTCTATAAAAAAAATTACTAATTAACTTGCATCAGATACAACTTCCTGGTAAGTGTTCCACTGTAATTCATTTTACGGTAAGCAAGTTCCATGAAACGTTCATTACCCTTTCAATTTCAAAATACGTATGAAAAGAATTCTTTAACTACATGACTTTCAACATGCCAAGGTATCCGTCACAAGCATTTACTGGTTCTCCTTTTAGGTGTACCTTACCTTTTAAAGATAGCAACTCTGAATGTATTTTAATACACTTCCTGGAATACACAGTGTTCTAAAAACACATTAAAAGCCCGTAACCTAAATATGAGAAGTTTGTTATTTGTATTTGATATTGGTCCTAAGATGTTTGTGCTTTAAAAACAAATGAAATCTGGCTGCAATTATGGCTTCTCTGATTGCTAGACACTGCTGCAGCTCATAGTATATTACTGACACCACTTTCTTCAACCCACAACCAGCTTAATTACAACACATGGTTGCAATCTTTCTGAATTTTTCATGATTTCTGAACTTCTAATGTTATGATTTTCCAAAACTTTTCCCATAGTTGGGCATGAAATAGCATACATATACTTCCTCATAATCACACAATTATGAATTTTCCAGTCAGATTCTAACAGGAAATAAATATTTCTAAACTTACTGAACAAGACTTTTTGCATTTTCTACTGCCTTTGCATCTCTTCTTTTTGCAGATGTGGAATTACAGTTTTATTTCAGTCCAAATTGCAGATTTATTTTGATATTCTTTTCTGGTAAAATGTAAAGGTAAAATCATGCCTGCTCTGCATGAATAACTGCACCAGGCACTGGTGATGAATAACTGTCCCAAGCACAACAGTTCAATTCACTACATTTGGATCTTAAACAAAAAACTTCATAGCGTGGACTTCTTTCCATAGATTACTAAAAAAACAAGTAGACAATATCCATAAACCTTCTTCAGTGACTGCACATTATTGGTCGGTTTGAAAAGTTAATGCCTAAGTCATAACTGGGCAGAGGTTTGTGTGAAGGAGTCCTGTTTATACATTCTGGCAAGAACAAAGTCAGAATATTTGTTCATTACTAAGATAAATAAATATCTCAGTTTCTAGAAGTGACCAGTACTCTCCTGAATCAGAAACTGGGGTTACAATTATTAATTTCACCTCAATGAATGTTGATGCTGTTTGCTCCTCTGCCACTCTATTGCACAAACAAATTCTATTCTAAGGTGTTCTTTGATAGGAATTTCTGCTAGTATTTTGTTGTGACTTTAGTGAAGGTAGTATGCCAGAAAAACTGATTTATTTTACATGAATGTTTACTTTTGGTTTTCTTAGAACCTCTTCAGTCTCATGTTTCTGATTCTCTTTTGGGACTGTTTTCTTTCAAGCCTGGCTTTGACACTTGCACCACAAGCTGCTTCCAAGTTTACCCAGCAACAATTCAGGACTGTTCTAAAATTCTACCTCATCAGCAACATCTTAGACAGGAACCTGGCATCTTTTCCCATGATACTACCTTCCCTTAACCACTTTTTAGAGACTTACTAGAATCTTTCCTGCTGATTAACTGTAGAGCATTTAGAAGGGCATTTCTCCTCAAAAGCACAACTTAAAAACATGTTTTTGAGTAGTTCAATTTCAAAATTTGACAGTCTGTCCAGTACCTTAATATAATCTTAATGCAAAGGATCCCTTTGGTCACATAGTACTCAGTTTACACAATAATACTCATGCAGTTTCCACAGTAGGTCAAAAAACACACACACACACACACACACACACACACACACACACCCCACAGGACAATTTTGTCTTTCCTTAATGTTAAACGTTCCCTGAAAATAATTCACTGCACAGTAATATCCTCAATCTGCAGCAGGACTCTGAGCAAATGCCTGGTCATCCTGAAGAACACACAACAATATATGCAGATACACACAAAGTTTGTGAAAGACTAGCTAGTTTGTAGCTTAAGTTCAAACATTAGTTTTAAGGATGATGCTCTTCAAATTTCTTCATAACTCATAAAACACCACACAGATATTTTTTTCCCCCAGTCAAGAACTGCTGCTTACAAAGACATGCTAAGCATAGCTAAATTACCAATGAAAGGTAAAAATTAACCTTTATTTTTCAAAGGATAAATAATTATCTGTAAAAATCAATGCCTGGTATATTGTATATCCTTCAAACAATACTGCTTTGACTGAAAGTCAGACCTTCAGTTCTGCCAGAAGAACGTTTCACAACATTCAGTCTTTCTCATCCAAGAACAGAGAAAATCACATATAGCCTGTAAGAAAACGTGTAATCTTTCTTCAGATGTAACAAAGAAGCAGAAGCATGTTTGTATACATGCTTTGTTGTTCTAAATGACATGAAATTTTCCCTCTGGCTCCAGTTCACAACTACTGAATACTAAGCATTAAACACAGATACTTCATGTTGTGGGATAAAGAGACATTTCTATCTATGGCTTTTAAATTTGATTAAAACAAAAGATTCAGGAAAGCTTTAATTAGCAGACTTTACTTAGATGAGTTGTTCTAATGAGGTGTACTACAAAAAAAAAAACAACAGACCACTGGCTGTCTATTGCACAGTGGGATTCCATTGAATGCAACAGGTTTGGACAAGTCTTCACAGAAGGGTCAGAGAGGCCATCAGTAGGTTTTTCTTTTTAGTGCCTACTTACGTAAGAACTGAACAATGGATTAAGTTTCTGCCACATAGACCAAAACTGCTTTAAGCTCTTCATTTCACAGTATACTATTTTTTTTTCCTCTTACTGCCTAAGTTTCTGGAACACTGAAAAATCAAATTATGCATTTTACAGCTACAGTCTACATATCAATGACATCTAGACTAATTCTACAAGGCTGTGCAGTCTCCTTGCCTGGATGCTGACCTGTGCAATCAGCTGTAGGGAAGCTGCTTTAGCAGGAGTGTTACATTCAATGTCTCTGGAGGTCCCTTCCAACTTCTACAACTCTGTGACTCCATGAAAGTTACTGACTTTACATTACAGATCAAAGCAGGTCAACTGCTCATTGTTGTAATCTCAATTCCAGACCAGCTTCAAGACAGCTTTGGATAACACACTCTCTACTACCACTGAATTGCAGAGGTTCTAAGGGAGGCACAGAAAGCTAAAAACTTCTCAGATATTGTTATTATGATCGCTACAAATGAGGCTTATGAAAGTTAGCAGCAGTTAAAAACATGGTAGCCTCAGTTTAGACCTATTGTCTGATCACATCAAGGGAAACACCTAGAACTTCTTTCAGTTGTTTCAGGATTTGCCGATTTTTAGATTTCCTTCTGCTCAGTACTTCAGACTGGTCTCTACGTTTGCTCTGGTCTACTGGAAGAACTCATCAGTACTGTTGTTACACAAATAATAAGTATGATACTTCTCAAATGGTTATGATTTCTTGACTACAGCTTACTACAAGCAACTTACCTAAGCTTTTCTTCACCAAAACCCTGCAATTTAAAAAGAAAAATTATACACAATCTAGTGCATATTACTTCTCCTTTTCAGAAGAGTAGGTGCTGTAATACCACATTTTTTTTTTAGTTTAGAATACATATTTTTGTATTGTAATGACTCTGAGGAATACTCACAATTGTCACTACAAGACAGCTACACTGATATATTAAAACAATCTTTACAGTGTCTACCAAGGTATTCAAGAATCATAATGACAATATCACATTTAAAATGGGCACATCCCTTGTTTGCACAAGGAATTTTTTTGTTCAGGCAACCATACTGTAGTTCACACCATACATAACATTATTTATTGACATAAAGATTGAGAAATTACTTTACCTGGAAGATTATCGTGGAGTCATACAGAAGTAAATATATTTTCTACGTCCCAGTCTTTAAACAGAACATGCCATTCATCCAATGTGGGTAAAAGCCTTTTCTTCCTCATTCCTTAGCTTCAGCATTCTTGAAATTATCCAAGAAAAGAAGATGGAAGCACTTTTCACTATTCAACACATATAAACAACTGAAAACTGAGTTTAAACATGTATTGCATGTTGGCACTGTATGGATATGTATTGATGACTTCTACCACGAATGCTGTTCCAGCACTTCACAAGAGAAGGCTTTTCTCTCCTCCCTGACATTAGTGAAACATGTGACCTAGTCATGTTTACCAATTAACTTTTAAGACGTACTTTAAGGAAAAGGAACTGTCAGTTGGCCCTACAGTTGAGGAAATATACAGGAATTAATGTTGAAAAGTATCTTATCACCCTTTATTTTCAGATGTTTCACAATATCATCACAAAATAAAGCATCACAATCTGTTTCAGGTAAATAAAAATGATAGCATCAGCAAATGCCAAATCTCTATATAAGCAGTACAATCAATTATAAATAAAAAAACATGCAGTAATTTAAAAACGTGTATATTATAAAATATTGCCACGTGATCCAGTTCTTTAAAAGGCATTGGATTTTCCAAAAATACAAAACATACATCATAAAAAATTACAGTCTACTTTCTTACTTCTATTGTGGTTATGAAGTCAACTGGACTTTTAGGATAAGCTGTAAGTTTATGTGACTATGGAATGCCTCTGAAATATGTAAAAGCTTTCCACTAAAATTTAATCAAACCATGTCCTGCAATACCAGGTGTGCCTAGGTTGACTTCTCTTTATTCAGAAGGTTTGCATACTGGATCTGAACACATTACCAAGACTGTAAAGTGTACAGACTTAAAAATAGGACTCACAAGTGTGTCATAAGGTACACACAAAGTTACATTTTTAAAGCCATTGCACAGGTCCTTTGTCATAAAGAGACATGTCTAAAATTCCTTCTACTTATCTTGAACATGCCATATAAAATGTGGAGCTTCAGATCTCTCAACTGAAGAGGGACATCATCATTTTAAATCTGAACAGGAAACACTTTCAAGAATACAATCTGTGTAATGAAGACTCAGCCACCATTTCAACATTTTTACAAAACCAAACTAGTAATCTGATCTGGGTTGCCTTCCTGTTAGCAAATATATTCCAAATTTCTTTGAATTATTTTTTTAACCTCTCAAGTGTCTGGCATGGGTGGAAAAGACTGACTCCATCAGAAGTACATGTGAGTAAAGAACTATTATGCTATTAACATCTATTCTCCTGGATATAGAAACATGTCTTGAGAGACTGGCTGTAGTCTTCCTGAAAGCAGAAAGTGCATCCAGCAAGGAAGCAAAGCTTTTCATACATTTTTGCCCTGTTTTGTTCTCCTTGAGATCCTTAGGCTGTATCTGTCTCAGTGCAGAAATCCAGGCCTTTAGTTGCAAGCCTTTGACTGTGGGGATACTAAACAAAAACTCTTGATAGAAAACAAACAAAATCCCTGTCTCACATGGAGGAGAATGTGTAACAACAGGGAAATCCCAAGTGACAAAGTAACTGAACTAAAAAGTGACAGTAGCAGAACAAATCCTGAGGTGGAACAAATGCTTCGCACACTCACGTGCTGCCTAGCTCCTCCCTTCCACCAAGATGAGGTAACAGCAATACCGCTCTTAAGAACTCCAGAACTATATTCTCACACCGTCTATTCATTAAAGTGAGTAAAAGCAATAATTTTAAGTTATGTCCCAGAAAATGCATGAAGGCCTCAGAGCAAAAATTTAATTGTGAAGCACAGTTCTATCACAATTTTGTCCTGAGAAGTAATTAGAGACTGTACTACAGCACAAGTACAGTTTTGTGCATCGTGTCCTTTTACAACATGAATTTCTTCTGAAGTCAGGGCTTATAACACAAACCATTTGGACAAAGGATCCAAGTCTGCTCAGCTTAATCATTAAGAACTCCAGCAAACCTTCTCCAGACTTGTCTCTATCACAAAGAGTATTAATGTCCTGAAATTATTCAAAGGACTGGAGCAGCTTTTCGCATTCTGGTAGATGACAGACTCTTAAGGTCTGCTCTTGCCTGGTAAGGGCACACATGCTCGTTCCTTGGCATCTCCCTAATGAATCTTCCTACCCCGTTCCCATGAGATTAATACATAGTTTCTTTATACTTTGTCCTGAAAAATGTCACCACAGTAAACCATGCAAACCTGTATCATCTTACCTTTCTTGTTGACTTGTAGTAGTGCTTCACTCAAAGGACCTAAGTTAAATAGAATCCAGGTGCAGAGCAAATGGTTTTGCCTTCATTTTTTAATCCAGAAGCTGACTAACTGACCAGATAGGGAGGCAGATAACTCCCACCATCCCATCTAGCACTTGAAAATAATCTTCCTTTAATTAGTTTCACTTCCTGCTTCGCATCTTCACATTTCCCTGAAAATAGCATAGGAAGCCCAACCATCTAACTTTTCTACTGTTTTCTCTGTAGCAGAACATTGTTAGGCTTTGTGCCCAGGAGCTCTCTGAAGACTGACTTAATATCCTCTGATTTCTGCCTGAATTCTTGCAGTTTCGTGGGCCTTATTATGTGATTAAAGAAAAAAAAAATACATGAAATTCTAATTCACGGATCCCAAACAAGTTTAATTAATAGAGTTACTTTTCTTTAAACTTCTTTTATTTACTGACTTTACTTTGTACTAGACTCCATCCAGGCCAAACTCTTCACCTGAAATCCATATTACAGAATATCAATACATCTGTTTCTGAACCAACACAAAAGTCTTAGTTGGTGCATTTGTTCGTTCAGTGTTTATGCTTTGAGCATGCACCACTGTGCATTATCTCCTTACTAGTTCTGTTAGCCCTACAGTGATGCCAGGAGTACTGCCTGCCTGTGCTAAGGTCATCTGACTTTGAAGTGGGAGCCTCATAAGAAGAAATCAGGTAGTGAAATCTATTCTTAAGTAGAATGGGGGCAAATATCCCATCATATCCCACTGCTGAAAAGACATTCATGTGAAAGTGTTTCTTTTCAGCTGTAAGACATCAAATCAAACTATCTGTTTGTGTGGCAGTATTCCCACTGTTTGTTCTGTTTATTACTTTGGCATTTTTAGATATTTAGCAGCGCTTTCAACCATTTATGCATTTCTTACTTTAAACCTTCAAGCTTTTTCCTAAACATTGCTTATTCACTCTAAATAAATCAAACAGTATCAGCTTCATGAATTCAGCAATTTGCATACAGTTCAAGTTACCAGAAGTATGTAAAAACTAATGCATAGTCTATCATGGATATTTTAAAGATCAGTTGTTTCCTAAGGTAAGTGACATTTAAATACAAAACAAGAATGCACAAGAAGTTCAGTTTCCATTCACATTTGTGAAAGAGGCAAACAACAACAAATGACTCTGCAACGAAAAATGATTTGTTTATGTAAGCATTAGAGATAACGCTGTACATATGATAAAGTAATCAATTAAGGGCACTCAGACCAGTAAGAGTTGCTCTTTGTTCTAGAGCTTCAAGTGAAAAGCAAAGAAGCCTCTCTAGCCCTATCCATGATATTGCTCTTTTTCTATCAGTGAACATTTGGGCTGAAATATAGAGATGTTCACCTTTTCAAATACCTTTTGTGAAATGACGTTTAGTAACAAGTTTGGCACAGAGAAACTTCATTGTGAGAAGACAAGAAGACACACACAAATCCCATTTTCTCAGTGTCACAGTAATGACACTGAATATGAGCGAATTCTCACTGTTTGTAAGTAGTGAGAAACAAATATTCATTGAACAGCATCGTATAAGTCAGTAATACAGTTTGGAATATAAGAAAATACCTGATTAAGTTATACCTCACACAGTATGAATCACAAGTCTTATTCCTTCCCTTCTTCCCTCCCCCTTATCTGTAATACTTTGCAAAAATTTGTAATCAGATGGCTTAGCTTCTTGTACTGTACATATCCACATCTTCTGGGCTGGACTGACCATGGTCCATAAGTTTTGGGTCAGCTTTAAACTTTGTTGTCCTCACTGTTCCTGGAAGAAATATTAGAGAAAATTATTGGAGAAATATTATGATTCACACCACATGGAGATAAAGAAAACATTACTGATGGAAAATCAAAGATATATAACAATTTTGAAACTGTGACAGGGTGCACAGTGAGAAAATTAAAAAAATATTCCTGTAGTCGTTAAACAAAACTGCCATCAATACATTCAGAATACAGGATAATATGCTATGACAGTCTGTTCTATTTAAAAGCAAGAATAAGTACAAATTCTATCCAAGTAATTCAGAGCATACATTAAAGTCATATATTGGACCTGAGATTACATCTGGAATTTTTCATTCACCTGATGAAGGCAGTGGATCCTTTGTACTCCAAGACTCTATAGGAGAAGATTCTGTTCTGTTAGGTGACTGTGATTCAATAGCCGATTCAAACTGCATATTAGATATTTCTTTATTTTTCTTATCTTCTTTTGAAACCGATTTTGACTCTTGCTGCAGCTGTGAACAAACAGTAACGCAAACTAAGATCATCTCAAAGCTTGTATTTTATAAAATTACTCTCAGGTATGACATAATGCAATGGCATCATGCAACGACATTCAGTAGGTAACGCCAGTTGATTGCATGCACTGGGTGCACCTACAAAAAAGATAACTCCAATAAAAAGCCTCACAGCTGTGATACTCTAATTCGCAGTTCACATTTAAGCAAGATCATTTTTTCATGAGTATATTCAAATCTGATGCTCTGTTTTAACCTGAGACACTCCAACTTCTTCACAAAGAAGTCATTGCCCTCTACAGCCTTTACAAAGACAAAAAAGATAGAAAGCAATACGTAGATCTTACAAAACACTTAATACTAGACTACTTACTACTGTTAGACTAGATGATCTTAGATGTCTTTTCCAACCTTAACAATTCTACTGTATTCTTAGCTAACAGAAGAGAGAAAGATAAATCATGATGTCTCCCTAGTAATGGAAAGGAATATGTAATATGTTGCTTTGGTTACAGACTTCACTAAGTGGAAAAAAATTAAGCTAACAAGAACTGTCTTTACCACATCAATTCTTGTATCTCTGTCAGCTTAATGACATAAAAGGTCAATATAAGGAAGTTAATGATCTTTTTTTCCCCCACTATGGTTGACCAAGGACAGGACTTGGAAAAAAAAAAAAAAATCAGCTTAATCTGTGATAAACGCTATTTAAATCACAGGGTAATGTAAACAGACTACGTGAAATGGTTATGGAATTCCCTTCATTATATATATTTATATGAATGAAGGGAAGGGTTTATATGTATAACTAAACACATGTTAGTCACACCTACAGTGATTCTTTTTTGTTAAGCTCAAAAATGAGCTTTAAGAGAAGCTCAGTCTTCTCTTGCATCTTACACACTGTGGGAACACACAGAGGATCTGAATTTCTACTGCTCTGAAAGGTGTAATAAATACATTAATTAGACATTTAAATTACAAAAATATCAGAGAGTTTTTGTACTTCCCTTAAAACAGTAATCTTAAACAGTATCAGCAGGATGGTACTTGACTTTCTCACTCACTCTCTTCATTCTATGAATTTACAAGCTGCAGTCATTACTTCAGAAAGCCTACCTTGGAGGGATCTTCCTTCTTTGCCCATAGAGATCGTGCAGCCTCGTAGGTTTGATGGCTTGCAGAAATTACCTTTTTCCCTGTTACCTATTAAAAAAACAATGCCATTTTAAAAAAGCTTTAAAAAAACAACAGATACTGACCATTCAAATGCAACACAATTTACGAGAACATGCTCAAAACCATGCAGAATAGGACATATTTTAACCATCTGCTTCTCAAAATCTAACGAATATTTATTTTCACCAAGCAGGTCCTAAATAATGTTTACAAATCCACAGGTAGCTTTCATATGCTATCCACACCCATCTATCCAAAACAAAATCAAAACATACTCAAAGAACAGTGTTTTGTAAACATCAGCACAATTGACCAGAACAACAAATATGAAAGAATCCAGGCCTGCCTCACTATTCTGCAAATGATCAAAGACAGTAATACAAAAGAATGAAGAAAAAAAAAACAACAACACCAGAAGATGATCCAGTCCATGAAAGTGAGCAGAGTTGTGCTTTACGGGTCTGAATCCCTCAGTCTTTCAAATTTTAGAAAAGTAATTTTATAACGCTGCAGTAACCATGGAGAAACTTTACAAGTGCTCTGTAGACACAGAATATTTCATAGCTGCAACTACAGAAAAGCTGCAGAAGTTGACACAAGTAAACAGGAAACAAGGATTTAGACTCCACTGCAGAATTTCTATTCATTTCTGTTCATTCCAACCCTGACATTTAAGTCCCACTCTAATGAGCCAAGGAAATTCCCCACAGCCTCCTGAGGAACTGCAACCCTCAACAACCTGTATATATGAAAACAAATACTTCTGCTCAGCTTAGTCATAAAAGGCCAATTTTAACTACAGAATTAAGTCTTTACTGTGTCTTCCTAAATACTCCAGAAGCGTATAAGAGCAAACACCTCATTAAAATAAGTAGATATAACAATTGATTCATCACAATGGAAAAAAATCAGAGATTCAGATTAATTACAAGAGCAAAATGCAACTACCAGAACATTTTCCTACCTCATTCATTTTGTATAGAAGCACAGTTTTTAAACTACAAACACAAAGACTGTCAAGGAACCAAGAAGAATTCTATGGGAGCTATAGAGAAGGAAGAGATGCGCTGATGTTCTCAATTCAGTCTTTGTACAGAAAAGTACTGTAAGCAAACAATTCTTGCATGCAAAATATGAAGCATGGTGCTGCTTTTCTATGTAAGCAATGAAGACATTAATCAGGTAGGCAACTGCAAGATGACAGTAATTTGAAAGCAAGGAATCTTATAAAAGGTGCAGTTGTATCTCAAATTGCATATCTGCCAAATTCAGCCACTTTGTATTTATTTTTTATTTGATTTTATTTCAGTGAGACAAAAACATGTTCATTCATTTGAGAAACGAGGACTAAAATTGAGAAGCTATCCAACTGCATTTTTTAATTCAGTCACTTCTGATAGTTATGCAATTAACAGCTGTGATACACTGTGTTTTAATGAAGATGCATTTGAATTCCAACTCCCAGTCCCACCACATTTAAATCAAATGAAACTGGACTGCTGTGACTAAATTCAGTGTTAATTCAATATTAAAACACAAACTTACCTTAGCAATTACTACTGCCTGAGCTGGGTAACAAACTGAAATTCCTAAAGTAGTAAGTCCCAAGGGATAAGCAATTTTCTTAAATCTAGAATCTGTACAAAGCCAAACATTTCATACAATTAGCTTTACGTTACATTAGTGTCTAAGTGGTTGTATTAATTAAACACAATCATTTAACCTCTAACAATTGTTTGCATCCAGTTTATACCCACCATGCTGAAGAGAGAATACAGAACTTTACTACAGTTCAGTAAATGGCCAGGTTAGCAAGAGATACTGATACCCTCCATGCTGAGTTTCCCACACAAGAAAGAATCCCAAAGCAGATTTGCCAATATTGTAAAAAAAGAGAAGAATTCAGTTAGGAGCTGCTGGGGCTTTTCCGAAGCTGCATGCATGCTCTCAAGGACAGAGTGCAGAATGTGAAGCAGCCAGGGGCCTCTTTCCTCAAGAGAGAATGGCTGAGCCAGACTGAAGTTCCCCTTTGCTGACAAGAAGCTAACAGATTCTCAAGCCCAATTAATTTCTAATAATGAAAAAAACAGTTTTTAAATGTCTGTAAGTAACAGGGATACAGTAAGAAATCTACCAATGTCAGGATTTTGATGAATCCATTTGGTTTACAAAATATTTAGCTAACAGGTGCACTCGGGTATTATAGATAAACATCTTCTGAACAGTGCTTTCTAACAGGTTAAGGATGATACGTTTAATGTTTATCTTGAAAAGAAAGAAGACCATATCTCTACAATTACCCTTTTGACTCTAGAGTTGCCCAAATCACACCTTCTGATGTCCATTCTCCTGTACCTGTTAGACAAATCTTAAGGGCTACTTCATTCTCCATTATTACTTTAGCCAACATCTAAAGTAAGTATTTAATAACGCCCTTTTGATTTATCAGGAAGGATTTTCTTTGACTGCTAGTTGTTTATTTTCTCTATTTCAGAAAAGTCTTTGGACCATTAAAACTACTACATTCAACATGCACAATACACCAATGATGGAAATCAGCATAGAAGCCCTACCTTTTCTTGCCAGCACTGCACCAGCTAGGCCTGATATTGTAATTATGCCGGCTCTGGGAAGAAATTCTGGTGGTGGATTCTTCAGGTAAACATAAGCATCTTAGAATTAAAAAGGAAATGTCAAAGAAGCAAAGCAAGTGAATATTAATGTCTATCTTTGTTTCTCACTTACGAAATAATAATGAAAGTAAAACTCTAAGTATCCAAAACTGAAAACAGTATAAGGACGGAATTTTTGTTAATGAATGAAGAAGTTTTTTTTGTTTTCCAGGTGCACCCTCTAACATCTGTGTTAACTGGGGAGAGAATCCCAGTCCTCAAAGCATAGCAATAAAGTCCGTGACTTTTCTTCCTAGAACCCATTTTTATGTTTTATCAACAACCAAAAACGAAAGCATAGGTTTCAGTTTTGACAGTACTATTAGTTAACATAGATTATATACATATTTTTGAATTTCCCAACACAATGTTTCTGTAGAAAATAACTCTTATTTGCAATTTCTGACACTGAACAATAACGTGCAAACACTGCTTGTAACTCGTGCACAAATAAGCTTTTTTGCAACGAAGAGGAGTTGTGGAATTTTCAATTGTTGTTCAAGGCCTTGCTCTGGTCCTGCTTTAATCAGGGGGTTGGACTGAGTGATCTATAGAGGCTCTGCACTGAGGGTTCCACAGAGAATCTACAGAGGCTCCAGCTTCAACAATTCTGCAATTCTATGATTCTGAAAAAATGAATAGTAAATTAAAAGTAGTCTGAAGACTCAGAAGGCATTTGCTCTGCTTTAAGCTCAAACGTTTACACATAAGAGTCAGCCCTGCCTATGAGCTACCAATTCAAGATTCATTGCCTTCCTCAAACTTTAACAAGCAGTCTACAGAATTAATGCAAGGCAACAGGAGTGAAAGAAATGTTCCCTGCACCTTCCCTCATCACAATGAAATCTAACATTTTGACACTCCATACAAAATCCTGAATCTGCCAAAACAGTATTTACCATAAGGCCACAAAACACAGAAAGCTAAAATCAAAGGAGTGAGAAATGCTACTCAAATAGTCATGTCTCTCCCTTAAGGACAGAAGTAGAACTCCACAGTGATACAGTGAATTAAACAGAAAAAGGGAGGGAGGGGACAAAAGGGGATTTAAGTACCATTTGTTGCAGTTCTTGAATTCGCAAGGAAAAAGAACAGAAAACATTCAATTCAGAAACACGAGTTGCTTACCTTTACCAAACTGAATTGAATCCGCTATTCCATTTTTAGCAAAGACAAAAGCATCCTACAAAATAAAATAAATGTAAGTACTTTGCAAAAGTAAAGGTTTGTAGTAAGAACTAGCCAGCCGATATGTATGGCTCAATACAATAAGACAAATATGACTGAATTTTAAAAGAAAGCCTCACCAGATCAGTGAACTTCCACAAAGGCTGTGCTGAGATTACTTCCTTTTCGCCCAACACATTTATACTATCTAAATTTAATGAGAATTTTTTTCAAAATTAACATTTTGGGATCAAAACTGTAGGGCAGCAGCAGATCTGGATCCCAACTGTGCAACATAAGAAAGTTTCATTACAAAATATTGCCACTTCCCCAGAAAATCTTGCCCAGCAAAACCAACTTTGTCATTTAGATTACAAACACAGTACTCAGTTCTGCTGAAGATAAGCAATACTCATTGGTATTAAGATGTGTGCTCAATTCTTTTCACAGAAGCACAGAATGGCCAGGGTTGGAAGGGACCTCAAGGATCATGAATCTCCAACCCCCTGCCATCTGTAGGGCCACCAACCTCCCCACTTAATACTAGGTCAGGTTGCCCAGGACCCCATTCAATCTGGCCTTGAACACCTCTAGAAATAGGGCATCCACAGCCTCTCTTTTGCATGACTCCTTTCAAATTGGTCAACTTGCCTTATTACAAAGTTGTTTTTTAATCCTGTTATTAGCACCACTGTCCTCAGGCTGCTTCACAAATCAAGCAAGTTCACCTTCTTTAGGAGATTAACAGAATATCATCTTCAGTTTCCTCACAGAAACAAAGCCTGCAGTAACAGTGACTTTGTGCCACCAGAGGTCACTGCTGGTCAACTTCCCCCTCCTTTATTACTGAGGACATGGAATGGAAGTTTGATGAAGATTTACAACTACACTGTTTCAGTTATGTAGTCACTGGCCACACTTTCACAGATCAACAGAATCAGAACTGATAGAAAATACACATTCTAATTTCTGTCTTTTTCAACTACTCTGTTGTATCTCTAAGAAAAAGGTACAAGAAAGTGTCACACACAGCAGCATAAGAAGCTGCCATTGACTAAAAAGAATGTTGATAGGTATCACATTTTCTTGTATGCTTAGAACATTCAATAACAGAGTTGCAAAATACTGCTGGTGGACAGTTAGTAAAAGGCTGCTTTAGCAGTTCGACTGCACTTAGTTTACCTTCCCTAGAGGACCTGCTTCTGGTCCTTTGAAAGCAGCACTCTTTCCAGGACTGTACCTGGAATTTCAGACTCCCAGATGTAGCAGTGATGCTGGCAGGAAGTTAGCTACATAACTCTTAACACAGAAGTTAAGCAAAAAATATTTCTGGAGCTGACAGCGTGAGTTGGCCTTGACCCACTTTTGTATTGACTGAAAGGGACCTATTTGATCTTTCTGACATGTGCATTGGAGAACAGGGAGAACACACAAGTTCCCTGTTAAAAGAACAGGAGAGAAAAACCAGACAACGGCTCTTTTTTGCATTTTAAACTACAGGTCTGTGATAACACAAGAAGTTGACAAAAACAAAAAAAACCCACCACAACAACGGGGGTAAGTAGGATATTTTTTAACCTTTTAGTCTAGTGCTATTAGGAATGGTAGGAAATCTCAGGGGCAGGTATTTCTTACCTTACACCACCCAATATAGTGGCCAGTGGTCTGTCTTATTGAAGAGAATTGCTTCTGCAAGTGACCAGGCTGTTCTTCAATGTATTTTGACTTCAGAGGTGGTGAGCAGTAAATTGGAAGCTGGAATCACAAGTATAACCATACTGCAGGGAGACCATTCTGTAAATTGACCTGCATTTACTGACACTGAGCAGCTTTTCTCAAGCCCACAGATCTTTAGCCTTCCCATTATGCAAAGGAAGTCTGTGTAACAAATCATGGTTTTTTACATTTAGAAACTTGATCACACAACTGTGACTACAAGTCAATTCTTCACAAAAGAAAACAAAGTATCGTACATGTTTTGAGAAGTAGAACTACCGAGCGTGATAAACTGTATTTTGTTAATGAAAAGCACAAGACAGACAAGTTGGAAGATGCATAGAGATTGTACAGTAAAAAACTTATCAGAAAACTTCCTATCTTACCTGGCTTAACTCCAGTAACAATAGAATAATGAAAACAAGGTAAAATTACACTCATTTACACCCTTTCTATTTGTGCTGTAGTTGTCAATTACTTAGGAGATACTTTGTATGATGACACAATACTCAGTTATGTCTTTTATTTACAAGTTAATCAAAAGAAAGAAATCATATTTGTAGACTTTTCTAGTATTCTTCTAAATACTGATGAACAGTAAGAATCGCACCTGGTTTGGCTTCACCAGCTGACTTTTTGATTCCTTTTCTGTTGCTGCATACACTGCACACACAAAAGGTAGGGAGGAAGAAGCAGCAGCCAGCTTCACCACCTGAGAGGGAGATGAAAGAAGGGCGTCTTAACGTAGAAATAAAACTTTATTCCATTCCATTCAGGATTTTACTACTGTATTGTGCTTGATCAAACACAGGATTAAACAAAATCAGTTTAAAAATCTTTTTGAAAGAGTCTACATTCAATAAATGCTTCATACATAAACACTTTCTCAAATATCAGTGACAAAGAAAAAGCAAGAGATGACCACAATTTTGTGCTCAATGCCATTTTGATGCTTTCATCGTTCCTTACAATAAATTAAGTTCTAATCTAGTCAGTGTTTAACTACTCCAAGTCAGTGAATGACATTTTTGTTTCAGCAAGAAAAGGTTCAATTTTATTTGCAACAATCTGCTATCTCCCAATTCAGAGAATGGTTCAACTGCTGTCTAGAAAAACTGTGTGCCAACAATAAGCAACAAGACCAGAATGAAGAACCACCTGCTTAACTCTTCTAACCCTGTCAACTGCAATGCAAGTCACAAAGTTTGGTCATAATAGCTCCAGATCTACTTAGATTGTATTTGGAAAAAGAAAAATCCTTAACACAGAGGTGAACTCCAACACCACTTCATGGGAAGCTGCTTTTTACCTCACTGCCTTAAGACACCAATAGGAGGTGCCCCAGGCACACGGTGCATTAACCACCAGCTCCGACACACTGAAGCATCTGCACCTTCCATCAGTTACAGATGCTTTCATGTCAGCAGCAAGTTTTCTGCTCTTCACCTGAAGCATTCCTTAAAATGCAAAACTGTGAAAACAAGTATGAAAAGCACTTCTGGGATCTGCATGGAGATGGCGGTGGAAGTGGCAGAAAAACTGAAATCCAAGAGAGAAAAAACAACACACCTTGATTTCAGGAATTCCTCATTGTTATTCTTCACTTTCCATTGGAAATGTCTTGCCAAAGGAGCAGGATTAACTCCACAGCATTTACGTGCAATTATGAAACCAAGTGCATGGTTCCACAAAACGAGCACTAGAAGTGGAATCACAGCCCTGAGTTTGGGTTCCCCCAAAAACCCACAGCTTGTGTACTGAGCCACCGGACACAACAAACCTCCATTGCTCCCAAAGCAAATGGTGTGACCATCACAGCAGTGCTTTCAGATCACACACTCAAAGCCAAATGGAAGGCAGCACAGTACTGCTATGGAAGAAGGAGCAAACAGCCTGCCAGCAGTTCCTATTTATTTCACGCTTTTGTTCCAACATAGAAACAGTATGAAAACATGTAGGGCAGATTTCAGTTTGCCCAAAAAAAGAGAATCCCATCACAGCTTCTACTTCTGCCAGAAACATCCCAAATTCCCACTGCCCAAAGCCACGGCTCCACAGCTAAGCTAGCAAATCTCAGCTGGCAACACCACTCCTGGGGACACACCACGCCAACCAGTGTGTGCTTCTTGCCTCACTTACACCCTTGGTGCCCCAAATGCCTCCCTTTTAGCAGCAAAGTATGATCCAATCAATACATGGACAGTCTTTGTGATAATGGTATTCAGAGCCAAACACAGTACGAACTCCAGCCGATTTACAGAGGTACACCCATCCCCAAGGAAAAGGCTGTGCTTTATATCAATTATTAAAGAAAACTATTTAAGAGGTACTGTAATCCAAATAGGCTACTTCAGAACAAGATACTACCAAAGCAACACTCCAATTTTCAGTAGATGCCAGCAGGAAATTTTAAAGTGAGAAAGCATCAAAAAGTTACATTGTTCACTTAAATTTGATTGTTTTAGAGAGTCACAACAAAGTTTATTTATGGTAAATGTAACAACAAAAGCTACAACGTACTCCAATTCCTGACTGACACTAATTGCTTTACTTTTGGATGCCTGAAGACAAACACATGAATGTTTCAAATCCTGGCTCTGCTATCTGACACTGATCTTGGCTTAATTACAGAAACGTTTAACTCTTTCCACTGAAATCACAAAGAACCAGGGAGAAAGAAGCAGCACCACCTCAGCTACATTCAATAGGCTTCACTGCACCGAGCCGCTACAGAATCAGAGAAAGGGACCCTTAAATACCACCACTCCAACAGTGCAGGGACACCTACAGCTCCATCAGGCCTGACCTTTATGGTATCTGCAGGGATGGGGCACCACCACCACTCCGGGCACCACCCTTAGAGTAAAAAAATATTCAGTCTAACTCTCCTCTCCTTTAGCTTGAGGCCATTTCCCCTTGTCCTGTCACAACAAATCCTGCTGAAGTCTGCCCTCTTCTTGCTTATCTTGTTCTTTGCCTAATGAACACTGCCTAATTAATTTATTATTAATTTCTTAAAATTATTTTATTAAACATATTGTCAAAGAACAGTGAACATTAAACAAGGAAAATAACACTCAGTTTACCTAAGTGAAAGGATAATTTACTTATGAAATCTTCTACAAGTTACATAGCACCAAGCAATGACAGAATGCTGTCATAACAAAGGTGAGGAGAAAAAAACCTCTGCAAGAAAGCCCAGGCTGTAAAATACGTGGGAATTACACAGTAAATCAGTAAAACAAATCCAGAATATCAACAATTGATTCAAACCTAAACAGTCTTCTTGCTAATGAATTCAGGAAATAGTTTAATTGACCCTCAAAATAAAAATTAAAGATTTCAGTTCAACAGCTGATCTGCGTTTTAATAATGGTTCTGCTTTTAACTGAGTTAAAGCTCTGACCTAAGCTATAGGAAAACAAAAAAAAAATCATTTAGTCCCTACTGGCAACACATCTAAAAACAAGCAGACAGAAGAGCCACAAGTCCAGAAATGAATTCCATATAAATATACACTGCTGGAATTACAGATACCAGAAGTTATACACCCCGGGATAGGAGAGGGACAAAGAGGAAAAGAGAAACTTCAACAGCAGTAGTCAAAATATTTCCTCTAATACCACTACTATGTTACTAACACAATAATTACTGGCTGTTTTTGTTCACAGACATAAAAAGCACTTTGGTGCCTAATAAAACCATATTTTCTATTTATTCTCCAAGGTGTAAGTATTGTTTCCTGCTGGAACTCCACAGATTCAAAGCAGGCACAGACTTCAGAACACAAAGATGACATCAAAAAAGCGGGCTGTATACAAACACCTGAGGCACGTGTATGCTGTGCATGCCTTATCCGCCATAAAACCAGAATCCACTTGGCAGATTAAAATGAGGCTAAAATTTTAGCAGCTGCTGTGTGTCTGCACTGAAACTGTGTGTTTCAGTGTAGAGCTGTTATTAAATGAGTAACAGGTGTGGTGTTGCACTACAGCACACAGCCATTCAGATCTATGCCCTGAGCTCCACCTGGTTATGCCACGAAGCCCCATCACTTCTTTTCTCAGCACAACCCAAAGCAACAGCCCCGATGCTGCTTTGCAAAAGTAAATAAAAGGATTCACATGTAAGCAACCTACTTGCCAACTGACTGAAGAGTGGGAAACCTGACACTGTCGTTCGTAATTATTTCAGATACTCATGAGCCCGTTTGTCACTGCATGCCTTTAACACCCGTGTTTCAATGCTGCACTGCACAACGCCACCCTCCTACCTAGCAAGTATCCCGATGACATCCCATATCTCGCATAAGGCGTTTCAGACAGCTGTTGGTAGATGGAGAATAACCAGAAACAAACTACTTTCCCTTCCAGTGCAGAACTTAAGCGCTGCGGAAGCAGCTCCTTTCGGCACAAGTCCCGCAGCACTGCCGCGCGGCGCTCAGGGCTCCGCTTCCCGCCGCTTCCCCTCAGCACCAGGCAGCGGCCGAGACGCGCGGCGCGAGGAGCGCAGCCTTCAGCTCCCGCCCGTCCCGGGGCAGCGCGGCCGTGCAGCCGACACGAGCTCGGCACCGGACAGCCCGCCGAGGGACGGCCGCGGGACGCTCAGCACGGCGGCCTCGTACCCTCACAGCCCCGCGGGCCAACCCCGGCTTCGCCCGACCCGGTGCCTCCAGCGCGTGTAGGCAGCGCGGGCACCCGCCGCTCCGCAGGGCTGTGACGGGAGTCGAGCAGCGGAGGCCGCACAGAGCCGGCGGGAAGCAGTGTTCCGCAGAGCCCCGAGGAACGGAGGGGCCGCGGGAGGCGCCGCAGGCTTCCTTCGGGCCTACGTCGGAGCGGAAAGGGGCGTCCGCACCTGCAGAGCCGCCGCAGCGCCGCCCGCCCCCGCGCCGGGCGGCACTCACCTTGGCCGCCATCTTAGCGACAGCCTCGCAGCCGCGTACGGCGAGCGGGAAGGGCCGAGCGCTCGGCCGCGGGCTCCTCCCGCGTGGGGCGGGGCTCCACGGCGGCTGAGGCGGTGGGAGCTGGCGCGCTCTTCTGTTCTTCGAGGAGGCGCGGGTCTGCGTTACCGCCGGTGACTGAGCCTGGCCCCGTGGGCCCTGTGCACAGAGTGGCCCGCAGCTCCGGTCCGGCTCTGCTGACGGCCTGGTCTTGGATTACTCTTCGTAGTTACAGTTATTAGAGAACACGCACTAAAACAACGTCAGCACAAAATTTAAGTGCAGATAATTCCGTTTATTGAAGTCCAAATTTACAACTGAAGTTTACAACTGTTTTTTTTTTTTTTTTTTTTTTTTTTTTTTTTTTCTCCCCCCCCAAAACAAAAGCTTCATTTGAATTTAGGAAGAATAAATGTTCTTTTTAATAATGTACACGCTATATCTCTTAAATAAGTTAATATCTTTGAAAAAAGAGCAATATGTTCCTTTTTTAATGTTGCAGTGCAACTTACAACTTACACGTCTGTGCAATGTACCATGAGGTATATGCCCAGTGAGCAACACACAGTGAAGTTTTCCATTCATAAATTTTCATTGTAGACACACAAAAAGTTAACAAGTTAATCTGTGATAGAAAAACGCAGCCAGTTACAGTAGTTCACACAGAAGTCATCTGAGAAGAGGAAAAAAAGAAACCTAACGTTCACTGCCTATATAAACTATTGGATCATCTCTCAACATAGACAAGTATAAAATTAAAAATACTGTTGTGAAACCAAAGAATACTGTATTATCCAGGGGTTGAAACCTAGCCTAACCTGTATGCGTCCAGTTAGAGCAGTTTTCTCTCTGTGTTCATTGAGCTGAAGGACTTTACTATGATATCGGTAGAGCATCTGCTCATAAAAGCGCTTAAGCAAGATGGCAAGTAGAGAAAAGTTGCAGGATGTCATAAACTGTGATACAACTCAGACACCTTCCCTGGCATGGACAGATGGTTTACCGTGACCTCTCAGTTCATCTCACAGTTGTTTGGAAAAACAAGGCTGATACATGGAAGATTCCGAGTATTTGAAGCTTTGACGCTTCAAACTTTTCAAGATGGCTCTTACTAAAAATACTTATTTTTCATGACATAAAACACATATTTACTTTAGAAAGAATCAACCACAACATAACTTTGTGATAAATAACAGTTCTGCCGCTAATACTTATATACATACTGCTTGTAAACAAAAAATGCCCACAGGTCATGGAGTCTCCATGAGTTTTATACAAGGCGCTATAGATTTTTTTTGTTATTGAAAACAGTCCTATTGAAAGTTTGGTTTATAACCTCCTATTGCTACAGAAACAGTAAGAATGTTTATATTTACAAAGAAACAAAGACCATGGAGACCCCATAGCATTATTTGCTAAAGATTTTAAGTTAGTGGGGTTTTCAAAGTACATGTTATCAGCACGTTCAGATTTAATTAACAGTACAGGTTGAACACCAGCAGTACAATACTCTAGTGCTTTGGTATTTCAACCCCTGAATATACGAAGACATTACTACAGCCTACTTCACAGTTTAATGCAAGTAAAGTGCAAGCCATAGTACAAGGGTGTCATACATTTTCATACATGTAAGCATTATCTATAAAAGGCTCTCTATACAAGTTTTATTAGCTACTTTAGTAAACTAGACTGAAGTCACCTATGGCCCAGCAATTAATGCTCTTGCAAGGATATTGTCTTTGTAATACAGTATGTGTCAAATGTAAAAAGTTCATTAATACTAGTGCATTTCTCCTATATTCTAACCTGTTTCCATTTCGGATTTTTAAATTGAAAACCTTGTTTCTCAGTAAAACAAAAGTTTTAACTGGTAACGAGGCCTTTGATGTTATTTTGGCCAGTGAACAAGTTTTCTTAAGACATTTCCTTCATGGTTGCCAGTGGAAAAAAGCAATAGAGTTAATATGTATAATGTGGCATTCTTATTTAAACTGCAGCATTCTGACAGATACATTTACAGTTAGTAAAAAGATCTGTATTGATACCCTCACTAATGCCTGAGAATGAGTAATATTCTAGAAATGTGAGGACAGAAGTTAGTGAACCTTTCTGGTCAAACAGCAATTTGTTGACATATTTTTTAATTTCTTCAACATTGCTTTCTTTCGAATTCTGCTCACACAGTGGCATTAGTGCATACAGCAAAATCTCTAATTGTCACATTAACCCTTGTATGCATGTGATAAAAATAACACATTATATTTGTCTGATACTAATGAATATGGTTCTTAAAGATAATGATGGGCAGTATCTTCCTGAAGATCGTTTATACTTTATTAACACTAGGTCCCAGTAAGATATCAGCTATCTCGAAACAAACAAACTGAACAAACAAACAAAAGAAACAGCCCCCAAAACTGAAACTGCTAAAAGCTTAAACAATGTTCTTTATAGACCAGTCTAAGTACACAAGTATGGCATAAGCTGTAAAGCATAGAAATTAATCTTAAATGTTTTTTCAAGTACTATATCAAGAACAATACCAAGAGTAGTCACCTGCCTACACATAGTGAATGGAACTGTTCAGAAATAAAATACTATGCTTATACATAATAGAAGTAAATAAATATTTTAAACTCAACTAAGAAAATACAACTTACTTGTTTTTGTTTGAAACAACGGTGTACTTTTCATTCATTAGCGATAATATGTCTCAGGTTTGATCTTCAGATGCATGCTGTGTTAACAGCCACTAAGAGCCTCAGCCATTCACTGTAAATAAGAGGTGGGAGAACCTGTCCCAAGAGTAGCCTGCCTGAAAAAGCTGATCTCAATCTTAGTTTTAATGAGGGAAACATTCTAGAAGGAAAAAAGGAACTTGTTGTTACTTAATATAAATTAATTAAATAATATTGCTTCTTGGGTCTGTTGAAGATTTTTGTAAATAATCATTAATAAACATCACCTGGCAACAGGGAAGAGTGCTTATTATCTCTAAGGAGATCTTCAGCTCAGTAGTCTAAGGCCTGCAGTCTTCTATAAATTTACCCTACAGACAAAAAGGCATTACTACAAAGCATGCTCCGAAAGTAATGCCTCCCATTTCATTATGCTGGCCCACAATGTCAGGCAGATGATGGTGGGATGGCAGAAATTGAACCTTCCCACCAATAATCTGTTACATTCTGTTGCTGTGTGACAGATGGCAGCGGTCAGGGGCAGTTTGAAAAAAAAAGAAGTCTGGTAAGGAATTGACTATGAAGCAAAGGTGTGGAATTGAATTCCTCCATGCAGAAAGAACTGATTGATTGAATTGAAACCCACTGATGTTCATTGACACTTACTGAATGTTCTGAAGACCCAGGCGAGGATGTGAGCACAGTGAGACAGTGGGTGGTGCATTTCAGCAGCAGTGACAGCAGTATGAAAAACAAGCCCTATTTTGGATGGCCATGCTCAGCTGTCATACCACAAGATGAAGTGTCCTCACCAGTTCATCTGCACGAATCGGCTAATGGTGTTGAAGAACAGTGTCCTGTATCTGAGCATTTGCTCTATCAAATTGTCTTACTGTACTCTTTGTTGTCTTTTTCACGGAAATAAATAGTAGGCATTGCTTTTGGAGCAATTTATACCCTTCTGTTTGATTTCCCTATTTGAAAAGTTAAGCAGAAATGAACAACCCATTGCGAAACCAAGATGCTACATTATTTTAACAATATGCTACAGGAACTTGTGTGTACTACAAACAGATTTTTCTGAGCAATTCTCAGTGTGTCAGTGAAGTAACCCCTTCAATTGCAACCCCTTTGCAATCCTTCACTAAACTCTGAATTGAATAATTATTTTGGTCTGGAAAGCTGTAATTGCTGATGACAGTAAGAATTTAGCAGGCCATACATCTAGCAATTCTCTGCAACACATTTTTTTTTTCCTTCAAAAAAGCAAGTAGTGCAGCACATTACCAGCTGAAAAGATAGCAGTCTGGATCTGAGCATAAACTGACTGATCACATTCAGAATTCCCTGCTTGGAAAAGGCATCAAATCACATCCTCCAGCACATTTTAGTAGCAATTGATCAGTCTCTCCTTGTGGCACTAAAATGTAATGCAGAGCAAGAAGTGCTCGTGATGTATTTGAGAAAGCAGAAGATGCTGTAAGATGGGTTTTGCCAGTGAAGTAAAGTAACTGGCTTTTTTGTGTAGGATGCAGATTCCCTGCACAATACAACACAGGTTGATTTTGGTGAGGACAAACAGAATCATACCTGTCCTGGCTTCAAGTATGGAGCCAGTATTTTCACAATCTTATTTCTGTCAAAGAATTTGGGGACACAGACTGCTAAGTACCTCCTCCTCTTCTGATTACTTCTTGTTGACATTAACAAGACTAAATTCAGGAAAGTTGTTGCCTAACATCTGTGAAATCAAGAAAAAAGCCCCAGTATTCCCAGCAAGTGCTACTGAGATGGCTTCTAAGATAGTTTTCAACAAAGAATTCAATGGATACAGAACAGTATATTAAAAAGAAGGGGAAGCAATGATCTATTGCAAGCATTAAATCAGGTATATAGAAATGTATGTTAAAAACAAAAAGACTAAGCTTGTGAAGTCACAGAGAGTGATGAATGAGGGACATTTCTCCTGCAGCTTAAAAAAAAAGTGGCAGGAATTCTGACGGAAGACACTAAGTTGGCTAACTTCAATCTGGATAAATAATACACAGCCAAAACATCTCTTCATGGAGTTACATATGGTAAGAACCAGTTTTTGTTTAAGCAGGCAGGCAGAAAATCTATGACGCAAATAAATGCACTCTACTGATGCTGCTTATTTCCCTTGAAGAACTCAACAGGAAACTTTTTTTTCCTAATTTAAAAACATTATGTAATCACAGCTATCTTAATAATTTCAGCTGCATTGTACAGAGTTAGAGTACCTTTGGGTCCAGGAGAAACTGACTTATTTGGATTTGGTACATGGATTTTAGATACAATATCTCTGTTGCCCTTTCATTCAGGTCATTTTGAAGATCATGAAATTCCAAATAATTGCTCTATGATGACTTTGTGCATTGATTTCTGTAGTTCAGCTGGATTTGTACTTAGATGCAGAAAGAAAAAACTAGTGGTGGGGAAGGAAGAGCTTTAGTATGGAGTTGAGTATGCATGCAAGAAGTATGTAAAAATTCTTGTCAGCTAGCCTTTGTGAAAGAACAAAATGTGTTGCTTAATTTAAAATTAGATTTTGCTTGCTGTAAGTACAAGCAATACTACTTAAATCTTACAAACTTTACATTTGTTTTTGAATATAGAAAGATTTATCTACTTAGTTTGGTGACCATCTAGCAGTGACTGCTTACACCTAAAGTATGAATTGGTTTATGAATGGTTTGTATAATTTATGCATTTCCTTGCATCAATGTTTGTTATTTATTCCATATTAGATGAAAAATGGTATAAAAAATAGTGAAATATCTTTCGGAGATCTGCTATGAAAAAAGTTAGATAAATTCCCTCTGTTAATGCTTTTGCTATTCAATTATTCAGTAACTACAGCATTCACATACAAACAAATATGTTGAAACAGTTTTTCATTTTGCATGAATACTGCAACTCTAATTTTTACGACAAATTATTGTTCTCTATTTCCTGGATGTTTTTTTTATGACCTCAGGTGTTAGAGCCTTCAGTGTATGCTTAATATCCAGTATGATATGTATAACATGATCCTGTTCCGCTCTGATGCATGCATATAAGGAGCCACTGTCTTCGGTGACTCACAAGTCTATAGTTCATTTGCTAAAGCAAGTCAAATATGCCTTCATGTTGCGTGTTTTATCTAATTGTTTTTGCTGCAGTGATGCTGTGACTCAGCTGCTTCTGTGATAAGAACTCAAAACAGCTGTCAAGTAACAGATCCCTACTAATAACATCTCATACTATTCTAGATTGTTTAAACTGTACCCACTGTGGTTCAAATAAATGCAAAGAAAATGATAATAAAAATCAAATCTGAGTTGTGTTTCTTCAGGGCTATACTGAGTTGACAGGGCAAGGTTTTGGTAGCAGAAGGGCTGCAGTAGTGGCTGTGTGAGAACAGAGCAAGGGGCTGTCCTCATGTAGGACAGAGCCTTTCTGCCATCCTGCAGAAAAGCCCCACCGCTGGCCAAAGCTCAACCATCAGCACAGCAGGTAACATATTTAAGACAGGACAAAAAATGCTGTGCACCATCTGCAAGAGAATGAGAAAAATCAAAGAGACAAATCTGCGGATACCAAGACCAGAGGAGGGAGAGCAAGGGGATGTTCTCAGGCACTGGAGCAAAGATCCTCCTGCATCCTGTGGAGGAGTGCTGGGAGCAGTGGATGGATGTGCCTTGATGAAGGATGCAACCTGTGGGGAGCCCACAAAGGAGCCTGGAGGAAACAAGCAGGAGCAGTGAGCTCCTGAAGGACTGCATCTCACAGAATGGACTCATCCTGGAGTAGTTCTGAAGAACTGCAGCCTGTGGGAAGGACCCATACTGGAGGCTGATCAAGGACAGTATCTTTGGGAGTGGCACCATGCTGAAGCAGAGGAATACAGGGTGAGGCAGAAAGAGTGGCAGGGATGGAATGTTATAGACTGACCACAGCCTTCCATTCCCCATCCTCAAGATGAGCAGAGTGGGAGGAGACAGAAGAGCCAGGAAAGGAAAGTTAAGCCTGTGTAGAAGGGGGACAGTGTGGGGGAAGGTGGTTTTAATTTTGTCTTTGCTGCTCATTATCTTGCTCTAATTTTAATGAACAATTAATTTAAGTAGTTTTCCACAGGCTGAGTCTATAAATGCTGAGTGATCTTTCTGTCTTTATTCTGGCCCACAAGCTTTTCTCCCTGTTAACTTGATGGACACTGTCCTAAACAAACAGAATACCTCTACCCATTTTTACATCTTTAAGTATCTGTGAATACTAAATCTCTTTCCGGACACTAGAACCTCTTTGAGATAACATTTTTTCCTATGTTATATTGAATTGTATGAATTTTACAGTTCTTGGTATATGAGAGACAGGTTTATATAGTGGAAAATTATCAGTGAGTATCTGTGTTGTAAAATGACATCAACTGAATTCACATCTCCTTTGTCCTGCTTTCTAGAAATATTCAAGCAAGCATAGTCAAAGAAAACTGTGAATCTGTGTTGGAAACTTATGTTCAGTAACATTCAGAGCAATCTTTTTTTCAAGAATTTAAGTATTTTCTCCAAGCTCCGATTCATTCTGATCCAAGCAAGGAAGTGAAATACATGATGTGACCTGTGTGTCTTTACAAAACCAATCAATACGGACTGGTTTTTTCAAGTGACGTAATGAACAACTTCACCTGCTTGCTGATGTACTACGAACAGTTAAAAATTATTGCCAGACATTATTATAATTTTGAATAATCTACTCCACTTCAGCTGCCAGTCTGTTGCAGAATCCAATTGATTGGTTTAGTTTTTGATTTCTTTTACTTAATAGTTATCCTTAGCATCACAGGTTTTTGAATTGTGTGACTCACAGGCATGCGTCACTTAAATTCACAGTGAAGAAACTGTGAAAACCTGCAGAATGTGCCATATTCAGTGCAGATGTTTTTCTTTCACCATGAAATATTTCAAATTATGTTAAAAGCAGCGTAAGTTGCAGCATTAGTGAACAACCAATATTGTTCTACTCATATCTTAACTTCTGTGCCACACCTACACACTTATTCATTCATTTTAAAGGCAGGCACAGTATTTTACAAACACAGTATCTAAATGGCCCATACTGTATGCCCATAGGGCCAGATTGGGATCTATTTGCTAGATGTACAGTGTACATTTTAAGGCACACTTATAGGGATTGAGTTTACATTTTGATAAATCTGTCCTTTTATTTGCAAAGATGGTCACTACTTGGAAATGTAGCAAAAATAATTGTTCATCTCTAAGACTGTCCAATGTCTTTATGTTTTCATTTTATATTTTTCTCAAGAAAAACATGAAAATGTGAACTGTAGAGCATTTAAAAAGTAAATACCAACTATTGCGTTACATTTTATATACATAGATATATTTAAATATATCTAAATATATAAAATGATTGCAGGAGCTCATACTAGAAGCTTGATTTTAGTACAGTACTTTATACTGGTGCTTGTTTTCAGTTACACTTCTGCACGGCTTCTTTCTAATGCAGAGCTTTATACGGACATTGGTTGATAATAGCAAACAAAAAAAAATAATAAAGAATATTATTGTCTTATCATGCAATGTAGTAGGCATCCTGTGGCACTATTCTCTTATCCAACTTATTTACAGTACTGCTGAGCACATTATTTATAAATATTACAGTGTTTGTCATACTGATTTTTCATGGCACCCAGCAATTATTCATGATACGAGTCCTGTCAGACGTGAGTTTCAATGAATGAATGTGTATGTGTCAGCATTGGTGCTGAGGTTGCAAGTTCAGAGGCTCCGTTTTGAGATTTCAGAGCAGCACTGTACTCACAAACGTCCAGGAAGAACTCATAGTTCTTTAGTTTCCAATCTTTAAACTTCTTTGATGTCAAGTTGGGATCATCCAGAAGGCTGTTGATAACTGTGAGGTCCCCTTCCTTTGCCTATCAAATTCCAGAAAGACACAGTACATGTCAAAATGAAATGCATCCCACACATTGTATTTTGGAATCTTATTTCTTCTTTCATTTTAATGCAGTGTACTATTGAGACTACTGTGGACACTTTAATTTTTTGGCTATATTCAGGAACTACTACAGCTTAATCTGGTTGACAGCTCATGTCCTGGCACTTTTTACAACATGCCTATAAAGAGTGCCAAGTAATGTTTGGTTGGTTTTGGCTTCATTTTGATTTGAGACTAGAACACAATTGCTTTCAAGTACCATTAGTTTCTTTGAAACTTAATTCTAAAGTGGTGAAGAAACCCTCTATGGGAAAACACTGACAGTTTAACTTCTGCAAGTTCAGATTTCTCACACACAAAATTAATGATAAAACCTTACTTTTAAAGTGCTCTTGAGTACTCTGATGTGGTGAAGCTTTTCATTGATAACTGGATCATTACATCGCTTCACAAAAGACTTGCGGAACTCCTGCTTGGTGGAGGGACGCTGTTCTCCAAAAGCTGACAAACTAGCTTCTTCCAGAGACTTATAAAGCTCTTGTAGACCATCTAACTTTTCTCCAGTTTCTTTTATGACTTCTGAAAGAAAATAAAGAAAACTAAGAACAGCCACAGCCAATTCAGCTGAAGTTGATTAAAAAAAATAATACTGCAAATTAGTGTGTAAAATAACCTATGATACAGTCTTCCCATTTTCATTTTGAAAAGCCACAAAGCTATATCATTAAACACTACATTCAAGCATTTCAAATGCAAAGTCCTCCGTACTCACTGATGAATTTGTCAGAATCAAATCTTGACGGACAAAAACTTGGCTGAGAATAATGGAATTATTGCTCTTTCAAAGCAGTAAGGTGGATCAGAGTATCTCCAAAAGCTTACCTTCTGCACAAAAACTATTATGCCTTCTGATAGGAATTTTCTCTTCCAAGATGTCCTCTGTTCCTTCTATGGACTTCACACGCCCCTTACCCCTGACATCTCTATTTCGTGGAAGGCTTTGACTGCGTTGCTTCTGTGGCCTGCTATGAGAGCCATGTCCTCTCTGACATTCCACTAAAGGGAAAGGCCCATCCTGTTCATAATTATGACGCTTCTGTACTGGCAATGTTGCCTGTCTTCGTCTTTCTGGTGACATCCCAGGCTGACCGCTCACATATTCTGGATCAGGAGGAACAGTTTGGAGAAAATGGAGCCCTGAACTGGTTAATGGAGTCTCTATCAGATCCTGCCACGAGCGTCTTTCTCGGTAGGGAGGTCTGCATCCTGATGAATGTGTGCTTCCTGCGACCTCTTGTCGAGAATCTTCAGCAGAAGAATGGGAATATGTTGATTCACTTGAGAAGTGTCGTCCATGTTTGGCTTCAGGGAATGGACTTGATGAAGTCACCTGAAAAGAAACAAAAAGATCTGGCTTTAAGACAAGGTTTTGAATAGACCCAAGAAAATCACAAGAACATGATATGTACTAATACAATGGGCTTATATGTGTGTTTTGATATGTCATAATATGAACCTTTGTGAACAAACATACCTAGCAGTGAATTCTTTTATGCAACTGCTCTCTTTTGACCACTCCCTATTCTTGTTTTGCACATTCTCTGCCCATTAGCAACAACTGCTGGAAAGAACTGTTTGAAAACAAAGGTTTTCTGGAGACCTGTCCAGTTTATGCTCAGTCCAGCAGTGTGCTGTGAAGACATGAAAGCCCCCAAAAGAAACGGTAATTGGATTTCCTTTCTTATTTTTAGAGGATAAATATCCAGCCAAACAAGAAAAAGCAAAAACAAAAACAAAAATTTTTGAATTTGGGGGGACTGCTCAATGTATCAAATCATTTTAACTGTGCTGGGTCTGTGTATCATTTTAATTCAAAAACAAAGAGAAAGGCAAAAAAGTGGAAAAACAGAAAGGGAGAGGCTTAACCTGTGTCTCAGTTGATAAAACAGCATCACATGGGTGAATATCAGTCTGAACTTCACCCATGTGATGCTGTTGCCTCAGTCTCTCTTTCTTTGGGTCTGGCAGTGTGAGGATCGTGTCATTCACGCTGAAGAAAAGTCTGAAAGAAAAATAGAGAACAATCCTATCTGCTTAGAAACAGATTACACATCACAGCATGTTCTATATGTTAGAAATGTTCTTATTTGCTACTAGAACCTGTTTGTAAACAAAGCATTTTTTTCTCTAGTTTATCAAAACCTCTCCCTGCTATATACTAGAAGTATTTTTGTCTGCTACTTAACGTCTCATGATGCTGCCAGAAAATACTGTTACTCTATTGCATTGTATGCAATGCTTCATCTGGTGAAAAACAGACCAAAAAAGAAAGAAAAAAAAAAGCCTTACCTCTAAAAATTCATTTTTAAAAAGGAATGTTCATTCTAAAACATAATTATGAAATGAATGTGATCCAGTCTCAATCTCAAACATCCAATAATATTCAGTGTCCAATATTCATACTTGGAAAAACAGTCTCAGCTAATGCAAACTAAATGCATTCATTGCGTTATATTCACATTCTGCAGTGAAGTCAGCATTTGAATCTTTTGTTGGTATGAGATGCAATTACCCAAATCATACAAAAATATGGTACACACAGTCTGGTGGCATATCCGTGTAAGAAGACATTTACCTCTCTTTACTTCGTAGTTGACTTGATTCAGTTCATAGCTCGTGAGGAACAGCGCTAATTTCATCCTCACAATGAGATCTATTTTTGTTCCACCTTAATAATAATTAATGTTCTAAACAAAGCAAAATGCAAATCAAAGCACATCTTTTGTGGTGACCTAACGTCAGTATTTATAACTCACTGAAGGTGTTCGGTGATAGGTGTCACACAGTGTTGAGGAGCCTTCCTGCTTCAGGGTTAAAGAGCCATCAACATCATCCTGGTCGCTTTCACTCCAGTAATCTGCTAACAAAGCATTCTGGGTTTCAGTGATGTATTTTTCCACAAGAACTGTTTCTGACAGTTTCAAAATATCATCAGCTTGCAAGGGCAAACATTTCACAGTCACCTAGGTCACTTGGCAGCCACTGAGGAGCAGATCTTGCAAAAATGGATGGTATTTCAGATACATAGGTACAAAGAACCACCTTCAAATGATTTAGGATAGTGTTACAGAAAGCACATTAAGCTCCTAACTAAGCACTGTACAATAAACAATAGCTTCTGGTCAGAGTTTGAAAAGGAAACTTCCTTTGAGGAGCCAAAGCAGAACTGAGCCTAAACGCTTACTTGATCAGTGTTCACCTATTAGGTCATGACAAAAAGGGCAAGGCTCAGAAGGTGAAGCATGGATCTAAAGCACATCTTGACCTTGTAACTGTGATGTTTTCACTTGCTCTAGGGTGATGAGCATAGGTGATGGCTCTGCTCTTGGAGATCATAATGCAGCCTGGACTTAGCATTGTGTTTATCATTTTTCTAAAATATTTCTTAAACTATTATTCTGGATTTTATTTTTTGATGACACTAAATCTAATTCTTCAGGGCTATATGTTCTTATGATAAGACATAACACGTTAATAAAGAAGTCAGTTATGACATCTCCAACTTCATTCAAATAATGAACAGTGCACTCTCTGCTCTTCTACTTATCTCTGAAACATTACCTTCATCAGGATGAATATCCTTGTCATCAGGTGTGTAACCAATTGCTGCGAGACCCAGACGATTCATCCATCTAAAAGAATAGCAGAAAAAGAGGAAGAAGGATAGTCAAAAGTGTGAACATGATGGTGTACAGAACCCCATCACGTAAAAAAGTCAGAAACAACAGTTAGTCCCTACACTGAACACTTCAGACTGTTCAAATCGTGAATCAGATAAATTCAGTAGTTAATAATTTCAAGTAACTGAAAGTCGTTTCAGTTCACATTGCATTTATTGCACAGGAGCACACTGTATTTATTTTGATCGCTACTTCAAGAACTTTCCTGAAAATGCTACAAAAAGACTATAAATCAAACTAGAATTATGATAATACCTGCAAAACCCATATCTGAGTTGTATTCTTAAACACTCCCTTACAGTTTGACCAAATTATTATGTCATTAATTTTCTAGCATATTGAATGTGGTTTCTAGAAGCAGCTCTGCCTGCTTTTTGACAATGCAACGCACATTTTGTTACTAATTATTTTCTTGGCTGATGAATCATACCACAACAAGAAAAACCTTCCAAAGACTTCTCAAGAAAGACATTAGTAAACAACAGGTACTCTATAATAATAACCTTTTTTTTTTTGCAGATTGAAACAGGAAACCTATTAAGTGTAATTAGAACAAAACAAGCTTTTAAGGGCACTCATGAATACATTACTTTTGTAATGACATAGAATATGAAAGGTAGCAGCAAGGAGACAGAAAATGAAGGAAGAGCACACTCCACTAAAAATAGAATACAATTCAGCATGCATTCATCTGCTGGTGTAAGCAATGCACTGCAGTTGCTCAAAGCAATGGTCTTCACCTGTAACACTGGATAGAAAACAGACTCACTGTATGGCCTTCAGCAAATCATTCTATATATCTTACAACTTACATAAGTATCTAAAGAGAACAACTACATTTACTTCTTACAGGTAACTGTTATAATGATTAATTCAATAGCAAAAGTATGAAAATACGAAGAATTGTACAATAGCATTGCTTTGGCATTTCCATATTAAAACAGAAGTCCCCAATTTGGAAGTAAAAATTAAATCAATGATTATTTTTCACAAATGCCAGCTACAGGCTTAGAACTGCTAACAGAGACATTGCTTGCATCAGCATGCATACCTCATCTTTATCACTAAGGAAGTAAATTTCAAACGGATTAACAGGTTTACTGAAAAGCTGATTTTCTGCAGCACTCACCAGAATAATTTCATTCAATAAAGGACATGTTGGTCAGTTGACATTTGCTTCATTTTAAAAGGCATGATATTTAGAGCAGCAATTGAAATGACATCATACTTTTTCTCATTATTAAGCATTTGTATTTACTATTTTTTTCAACAGTGATTCCTGAATCCCTAAACTCATTAACATTGGAGAAAAACAGTTGTAGTCATGCTTTACCTTGACAGTTAGGCATTATGCCTCAGGTACTTTAACTAAGGTTCTGCTTAAGCACCAATGATAAACCAGGGTGCTACCATCTTCAGCCTCTTTAGTGATCAGTGTGCTGACATTTTTGTTGGCTTAAATTTCTTGCCAGTTTATCTTGTTGCTCATTGCTATTTGCTGCTCATTGTTAATGTTAACCTTCAAAATAACATGGATTTCCTCAGCAGACAGGTATCTGCTTTATTCATATGGCCTCAGTGTCCATATCTGGAATTAGCAGAAGGTATTCTTCCTCCTTGAAGATTGCCCAGATTTGTTTTTCCTACCAAAAGGCAAGAAGGTCCTTGCAATAGTTGCAAGTACATTCCTACCTCATTTACCGCAATTCAGAGTTAGCTCTTTGTCAAGAAAATGAGAAGAGATATCTGATGACATTCACTGGTTTCAAATGATAAATTCTCTTCTAACAAAAGAAAAAGAATCTCAATCTTGGGTTTTGTATTTTTTTAAAAAGCCTGAGTGAATGTTTTTGAGGTTAATCAGGAGTTAGAGAAGTGCTGAGATTACAGATCTTTTTCTTACAGTTAACACATCCTTCCCCCCGCCCCCAAGGAAATGCAAACTCAATTCAAAAGGAAAGCTGTGTAAACATGATGAATTTGCCTGATGAGTAAATGCATACTTTCATTTTTATTAAGAAAACAGGCAGCCAAGGTTATAAAAAAGTTCTCTCTGGAAAGCTTGAAACTAACTCATCCACTTGGTTCAGAACTTTGCGTTGAATGCCTTGAAGGCAAATGTCAGGTTTCAGGAAGGCAATGGGAGCTGTGTGTCAGAATCAGACTCTCTAAGGGATAAGTGACTGCATGTGCTTAATCAAAGGTCACGCAGTGCAAGACTATATGCTATACCTGTCAAGCAGAACAGTGAAGAAATAAGGGGTAGTTTGTCTACTTTGGTTTATATTGCTGCTTCTCTCATAGCACTTTGAATTGCGTGAGATCATAACGAGACAAAAGAGGTTCTGGCAGGTACGTGTATAGCAACCTTACATGCACATCCCCATAGACCTCGGCCCCAGAGGGAAATGTTTGATTCCTCTTCCTCCAAAAAATAATCTTTTTTTTTTCTTTTACAATTTATTTCTGAAAAATAGGCAGAGAACAACTTAAACAGTGCTTTTCACTAGGTTTGATTCTAGACTGGGCAGCAAACTGTAGGGTTTGCATTCCAGACAGAAAATAGCTGTGGTGCATATGGAGCTGTGCTCAATATCCCAAGGATACTCTACACCAACATTTTATTTTCAATATTGTATATAAGCCCTATGAGAAACAACTTTTATCAAATTGCATGCATTGTAACAACTTACAGGGAAACAAGTGTTTTAATTATTTTTTCTTATTGCCTTTACCTTAGAAAACCAAATGGAGGGAATGGGAAGCCCCAGGGAAAGTCATGTCAATACATGAGTAAGTTTCGTACTGTGTCTCAACAGTTCAGATTTTAAATAAATCAGAGTTTGTTTTAATTAATTCTGTTGATTACGAACAGGCGCTGCTGTCATTGCTTCGGGATAAAATAGAGCTGCATGGCAGGAAGTTAAGTTAAATTTACTGAGATAATTCTGGTTAGTACCAGGGGATGGCAGCCCAGGGACTGTTCTGCAAGTCTGATTCTACCCCAAGGCCTGGAAAGGGATGTTTACAAAGAAACCGAGGGCAGTCACGAACCAAGTAGCTGTGACAATAATCAAAACTTGATACTGAAGAGTGAGTCATGCTTGAAATGCCCTGAGTTGTCAGGAGTCAGCAGCACATTCTCTTACTGATCATTTAATAAATACACTGGAGAAATGTTAAAATGGACCAAACAACTAGAAAAACATTTTCATAAAGCTTCACTGTCCTAGAAGACTGTATTAAAAAACAATAACACGCCACCACTCTTACAAATGCAGCAAGTTTTTGTTTGCTGTTACAATTCCTCTGCTGACTACAGCAATGAGCAGAGCCAAGGTCAGTGCAAGTCCCTGGGACTGAAGGCAACCAGAACTCTCAGATCAATTCTCCATTTTAAGAGTGCCTGGCTAAAGATGGCAACAATTTATGAAAGGATGCAAGTTTTTATCAATGGTTTAAGAAAAAAGAAATCATTTCTTTGAAAACTAAGTGCTAACCAACTGAATTTCTTGAAGTTGTTAAAGGACGTCAGGTAAAAAAAATAATGACATGGGCAAAGGCCGAAATCTGAGAAAACCACAGACAAAAAAAAATTGAAAAAATGTGGGAGAAATACTAGGATATGGAACACATTTGAGTTCGGGAGTAAATAGGAAAGTATTAAAAAAGGCAGTACTGTTAATTTATAGCAAACTGCTACCATCAGAAAGGACTGCTTCCTCATAAGCAGAGAAGAAATGTTTAATGCCTGTATTTAGGTAACGGAGTATTTATTTGAGTCAGACTTCATCCACTTGGCTACTTCTTTCCAGCAATACAGATCAAGGAAAATGCCTTGGAACATTTTTTTTTCTTAAGTGTTTCCTTAAAAAACGAAACCAATGAAATACCAAGATGTTAAAGCACATCATAAATAAATAAAGAGTTATATATTTAAAACTCATTTCTTATCTTGTATCTTTTCATCAATTAATACTTGCACTTCCAAGTCATCACAGGTTTGTGTTTTAAAAGTTTCACAGCAGGAATATATCTTTCTTCACTTTTGGAATTGCATGTACACTACGGATTATTTGGCTAAAAGGAAAAATAGAACTGAAGTTAAATTCAATTCAATCAAGTCAGCTTCTAGTTTATTAAAATACAGATCCTCTTGCACCATCTATTTCATACCTACGATTTATTTAGTGCAATTTATATTTATTTTCAGGTTATAAACTTTGTATTATATCCTCTCAGACCAGTGAGATAATTGGATTCCAGAGTTCACTGTAAAATTATTTGCAATACAGAATTATATTTTTAAATCAATTTTGTATTTGGCACTCAGGCTTCTTTCCGACCAGTCTTTCTTAATGGACATCTGAAAAATCAATGTTTCCCTTTTAGATTCTTATTTTCACTGTTCACTAAGGCTGTACAAGTAATGCCCTCATTTAACAGAATAAAAGTGCATGTAATAGGTATGGCTAAAATTATTCCTTTTTTTTCACTACACAAAAGAAGCCCAAACACATAACTGATGTCTCACGTTGACATACAGCACTGAACACTTTTCTCAATGAGCTCATCTCTCCAAATATATCAACTCTCAACAGCCTGTATTTCTACTATTTTATTTGTCATGGTTGCTGGAATTTGTTAAGTAAAATCATTCAAGGGATAAACAGTAAGCACTCTCTGATTTGATAATTTGACATGACTCTGTTGATCTTGATTCATGCACCGTCTTCTTAGATTTGTCAGGCTGGAAAAATATGAAAAAAGCCCCAGACACTTTAAGAATTGACAAGTGAACCATAGCAATTTATGCCCTCTTTGTGTGTGCATCTACTTCATGCACTTAATGAGGATTTTCAATTTTTTTTTTATATCGTCACTCTGTCAATTGAATGCACATCTAGGCCTTTGTGGTCAGAAGTCTGTTTTGTTTTGGTTCTTCTATTTATTTATTTATTTATTTATTTTGTCTTTAATTCCTGCTGGATGATGGACAATAAAATCCACTGCTTCTGTGCCAAATAAATAACCCTTGTGGCAATAAATAAAATAGCATCTTACTGTATAAATATAATTGTGTAACAGAAAATATATACACAATACCTTTATGATAGACTACAATTTCAAATAAAAGCCTCAGGAAATCTACCAGAACCATCAGAGAAACTCACTCAACTGGAACACCTCTTGCCAAATTTCAAATAATTTCCAAACACATTTGTAGCAGCTCTAACACTGCCTAGGCAAAGCAAAAGAAGGGGCTGTTGCTGAGATGAACTTGGATTGCCATGCTGATACCTATGGGAATCAGTTAAGTAGAGAAAGGAATCAGTTAAGAAGAAACTGAAATATTGTTTTCATTAGTGAAATGCAGCTACTGGATTTCACCCCAATGTAGTCTTGTCCCATAGATTTACCAGACTACTGCAGGTAATTCACCAGACTTTGTTGGTATCCATCTACAGGCAAGTACTGGTTGCTGCCTCCATCTACCACTTCCTTTACTGTGCCACTGCTCCAACACGTGCATCCACCTTGTATGACCTGAAAAGGTGTGGATGAGGTTTTTGGGGTTTAGAGGCAGAATATTGTTAAGGAATGGGATGATTTACTTCTGAAATCTTATTTCCACATACTCTTAGATAAATCAGATCAAACAGGCCAAATAATACTGTTAAAGGCCTGATTCATATAGTTATATCGACCACTTCTTTCTGTTATTAAAAATTCCAGTTTTTGCAGTGTTAGCTTAGTATTTCCAGTACGACACTATAATATGTGACTATAATGCATGTTCCTTTATCACCAGGAGGTACTGCACTGTTCTCAAAAACACTGCTCTATTAAATGCAGATGAACTGTTTGGCTCCCAGAACAGCTGTATCAATTCACAATGGTATTATTTCTAGCAGAATTTGATTAAGTTAATTTTGTAATTTCAGACAATGCAAATCCTAGCTCCTGTGCATTAGGGATAAATTCACACCTGAATGCTAATTTGGATTGTTTATTGGGTAACTGCACTTTTGTTTTGCAAACTCCTATAAACTCTAATGTATTGCTAGAAACCAGTGGTTCTCAATCTGTGTCAAGGGAGAGATGGTAGTTCACAAGTCTATGTAAAGTAGTCCATAAATCATAGAAGGAAGACTTTGGTGGCTTACAAAAAAAAAAACCAAAACTTTGAAGACATACAGCTCTGTACTGGCACTTTCTAGTGCAGCATTTTCCTCAGACTGAGTGCTGTATCTGTACTGCTGCAACGTTCACTCCCACATATGTAATGGTTTCATGCAGCCTCTGGGGCCTGCAACTTCTGATCAGAAATATTTTTTCCTTGTGCTGCAACTTATGAGTTATGTGAGCACAATAATTTAGATGTTTGAAGTGGTCTTAGGAATGACTGCATTTTTCCTGAATTTGAAACAAGTTTGTAGGAAGACACAAAGAAAGGAAAAATCTGCTGTCCTGTTAATTTACAAAAATTGGTAGGCACCAATTCAGGGATTTCAACCTGTGAAGTTCTTTCATATTCCCCACAATTTCACTGGGCAAGAGACTGGATCGTAGGAGCTCTTTAACAACTTATAGATCATTTTCTTAAAGAACTTGTAAATAAGGACAGACAGATCTGACATGGATAGCCTTCCATTCGCTTGTTCATAAGGGTAGTGTCCAACAGCGGTGTATGTCAGAATTCTTTAGTTGCCAAGATCTTTTCTTAGGTGTTAGCTTGTTCACAAAGAAAGATTAAAAGTAAATTAAAACATGAATACTTGCACAAATACTGGTCTACCATCCGAGCTGGCAAAGAACTGACAATGACACTAACATGCCTCAAATTTATGGAAGACAGCTGAATGAACTTTAATAACAAGGATGGTTTAGAGAAAGCTTGGAGTAACTCTCCTGTTATACATCTTATGCAAAAGTACAGAAGATATGCACTCTGAAATTCGCTCATATTCAAGAGCAATTTAATTCAGAATATATCAACTTTCAAGCAGTTTCATCTTCAGAGAAATAATGTTTTACAGACTTTCAGATCTTGGAAAATATTGGAAGTGGTTCCTCCAAAATCAATTTATCATCATTTTAGGTTTAAGCAGACAGTGCAGTTTTGAATGACAGCCAAAGATTTATGGGAATTATTAATATCATGAAGTTAACTCAGTTATTCAAATCAAGCATGGTCAAATGATTCAGCCTATAACAGGAGGGTGGTTTTTTCTTTCTTTAACATTTGGAGTATAGGAGAGTGAAAATGAACTGCACGCCTCAATCACAAGAAAATTTTAAATAAAATAGACATTGTAAAACAACTGAAAATTAAATTCAATGCTGATTTTCTTAGGAGTATTAAATCTATAAATAGGTTATACATGGTCTGGGAACAGATGAAGCACTTCTGTGAAATAAGGCTTTAACGAGCTTGGAATACCTCGTGACCGTGGCAAACAAAATTTGAGTTCATCAATTTCATTATTAATTCATTTCTAAGAACACAGCTATGCTCATGTAGACCTGAAAAAACAGCATGAGCATTAATTTTGCAAAGCAAAGTCTGTCTGCAACATGCTACACAGCAGGCAAAAATTCTGCTGCAAAAGAACAACATTATCTGGTACGCACAAATCAATTACTACCCATCAGTGGATAGCACCTTCAAAAGCCATGCAGTATTAAAGGCAGATTCCAGTATTCTGCAGATTAAAAAAAAAATCCAATCTAGAAAACAGTGAATCTTGAATAAGAAATTGATATAAATAGCTGTTAAAAAAAAAGCTGACAGTAAATGAAGCTGAAAAAAAGGCTATATATTGTCCATATCACGAACGAAGAAATGCTACTTTCCTCTTCTACATATTAAGACTCTTTTACTTTTCAGTGTAAACATGGAAAATCCAGTTAAATTTTGTGGTGACAGCAGAATTATGAGATTCCACATAAACTATTTGCCATATTACCTTAAACCACACAGTTAGCAATTTGGTGGAAAGATAACAGCTTTTTAGGTGCATTTTTTTTCTATGAACCTTGCTTACTCCATCCAATTTCAGACATGATGTCTGGGACAAGGAATTCCAGGAAGGATATAAAGGCTGCAGGGGATGCCCAGAGATTTTACAGAGGAAGCATTGCAATCCATCATTTGGGTTGCTGAGTGAATTACAATTACCCCACTGGAATAACACTTCTGGTGGAAAAATACTGCCAAAAAAAAATTTCAAGGGGAAACTTCACCCTTCTTTGTCTTCTCTCATGGAAAACAGATTCTAAATGTTAAAAAAAAAAAAAGAAAAAAAAAAAAAGGCTCTAGTTAATTCCAAACCATTGTGGCAGTATGATATGAAAACAGACCCTGGCACATTACCAACTGTTATGCTCCACAGAGGCTGTAAACTGTCATAAAGACAGCTGTGTTGTCTCCTAGTATAGGAAAATCAATGGATATTTTATTGAATGTACATCAAGACTTCCTGGTTTTTCCTTGAGTCAAAAAATTTTATGCCATAATAGGGAGAGCTGAGCAATGGCACTTAAACAAATCATATCTATCAAAGTAGCTAAAATTAAGGAAGAAACCATGCATATTTAAAAGTAGCAGAAGATCCTCACTTCAGATTTGTACAAAACAGATCTCAGCCAGATTACATAACCAAATAATGAAACACTGCTAACAATGAAAAGAAATATTTTGCAGCAAATTTACATCCAAGCAGTATATCTGGCTACAGTAAGATACTCGAGAACTGAACCTCCTCCTCATCATCATTAGTGAATGATGAACAGGCCTGAACTGTTTCAATACATCTGATCTTATGTGTCAATACAGTTTAAAAATAATCTCTTGATGTTATTGTTTTATATCCATCTGTATCCTGAAGGCAGTTCAGCCTAAGTCTTCAAACAGAGAAAACTAACGAAATTCCAAAGTTTCAGCAGTCTGTGCCATGAAAGATTTAAGACTTTGAAGTATGGCAGAGTTTTCCCATGTGTCCTTGCTTTTTACTCCGGCTGTGAATAAACAAATTCCTGAAGCAGCAGGAGGAGGTAGAACATTTGACTCTGTCTTTGATCCTCACAGGCACTTCCCCACCTTTATCTAGCCTCTGCCTTCATCACTGAGTCACAGGATAAAGCACAAGGTAATTTAGGTTGGAAGACATCTCAGGAGGTCATCTGTTCTCACAGCCTACCTGCTGCAGAGCCAACTTTAATTTTGGATCAGGTTGTCCAGGGCCTTGAATGCCCTCCCTGCACAACCAAGGGCATTTGACAACACACAGCAACACTACCAATACAACTTCGTTAGCTTTGTTGAGAGAGTGATGCAATGGATCAAATTAAATTTCCCTTTTCTTTTTTCTTTCTTTCTTTTCTTTTTTCCATAACGCAAGTTACTCTCAGTAGAGGCCTTGATATAGGTATGCATTGTATTTACATACAAGAAACTGTTAAAGCATAATATCTGTAAGGATATTTTCAGGGTTTAACAAGAAAAAAAAAGCAAAGTATCATAAACAACTCAAAAATTTTAATAAACACAGATGATACCCATAAAACTAACTTTTTCTAACACCTTTACAGAATTGCGCTATGTGGCATGACAAAAAATTGCAGCCAACAAAATAAGCCACACAGTGTAAAGCTGTACATACTAAAAGCAGTGGAGGACCAGAATGGGCCATATTGAGAACACTACTGATCAGCATTACATCATGCTCCAGCAGCACATTTCTATGTGATTAATCTCACATATTATTTTCAATTATTGGTGTGTCAAGAAAAATAATATGTTACTTACCTATTCATTTCTTCAAGACAGTCTGTTGCAAAGTAGAAACTCTTTATTTTGGGGTGACACGCTTTGAATGCACTAGAAAACAAACACAAAGAAGAAAAAATATCTTTTCTTTCAAGGATATTGTCTACAGACAACATAAGACTGGTATGCACCATAATTATTCAGCATGTTACAAGCTTAATAGGCCTTTTGAATGCTCAGTCTGAGTCTTTTGCTGGATCCAACTTACAGATTCATTCTGATCTGCTTACATCTACATTTCAGAATTTACATCTACAAGTTTCAGAAACACCTGAATTACTTAGAACTGTAAAGCCATTCCATAACTGCTGATGTTATAAATTAAAAACTTACTAGATGAATCTGAAAATCTTACTGCGTAAATTTAAGTACTTATTAGTTGTGTTTCAAAGGTCAACTAGTCTAAAGGACTATGAGTTTGATCCCACCATATTTTCTCACATATGGCTGTGGTTTTTGTTCTACTCAAAGAAATACTTAGGACAGACAATTTTTGTATTAATTAAATAATATAATAATTTAAAGGAGTACTGCTATCAAGGAAGCCACAGACTCACACCATTAAATACTATTGTTTTGATTAGTTGGCAAATGAATAGAATAACAACTATCATACGTAGAATTTAGGTTAAAATACTGACATTTATATGGTAATCATTAGATGTAGGAATTAGATTACAAGTAATTACACATGTCATTATAAAAAACCTGATTATGCACGTTTCCCACTATTAATAGCTTAAATGCAAATGAGTGTTTTATTAATGACTATGATTAATTCCAATTTTCAGAGATTGAAAGCTGAAGAAACTTGATTTGAGCACACCTATTTTCTTGTATATACTGGTAATACAGATGCATACAGTAACAGGCTTTCCTAACAAAGGTTTTGCAAAAGAATGAGGTGGCAGAGTTGTATTTCTCTGTAGTTCCCTTTTTAATGAGTTTACATGTGTATTAGAAGGATAAGTTTACCTTTGCACAGAGGATCATTATAAAACATCCTGAATCCACAAAAAGATGTAAGAAATATTCAAGCATTGTTTTCACATATGAATTGACAATTTCAGTGAAGATCCTAATCTCTACTTCTGCTGATTTAAAGCATGTCACAAGTCACTAGACCCTTATAAAAATGTGGCATTCTAATGAAATGAAAAGATCAAAATTTGTATTAAAGGTCAATACTAATTAATATCAGCTGACAAAAAATAAGCAAGCAAAAAGGCAGCATATTTACTGGCATTTACTGTAAATACCAACACCAGAAATTTGAAATAACAGGCAGCTCATACGTTGCAAATGAAAAGAGAGAATGCATGGGAAATCCATAAATAGGTAGGAAACTTTTCTGATGCCCACTAGATGGCATACAATTGTTAATTATATATACTGAATTTTAAGATTTTAATGCAAGTGATTTTGATCTAAGCATATGTTATTTATGGGTATGTACTTTTCCCTGATGTCAGTACTCTTTGCAGTTATTTGGAAACACTGCAACATCTTGACCTTCTAGTCTTACATTTGCTCAACCATTTGCCCAACCTTGAGATTTAAGCACTGACTTGAATTGGAGAGGATTATATGGTGGGTCTGGAGATTCTAATCCTCTTGATTAATCCTGTTAGAATATCACATGATGGAGTTTCTGCTTGTAAACAGGATTATTTTTCTAGACAGGAAATTTACATACATGAAAGCATTAGAATGCCAATATTGAGTCTCAAACTCGACCTGTTAATAGTCAGAGGATTTCACATAAACAAACCTTAAATTTGTCTCCACTATGCTCATGTAATGTGATACAGTCTGCAACTATAAAATTGAATACTATATTTTCACAGGAGCCCTTCTTCAGTTAAGGTACAGCGTGGACTTGTTTTGCAAAAGTTCTCATGTTCTGCTTTACTACATAAATGTTCATTAATATCTTTTTTATATATATATTCCTAAATTCACTTAAAAGGTGAGCAAAATAAGCCATAATTCTGTACTATTATATATTACATACTCTGAAGTCAACGGGTTTTTATTTTTATGAACTGGGGATCCCAGGTCTGTGGAAACTTGTAAATGTTCTGCAGTTCTCTTTCTGGGCTGCAAAGGACAACAATACATCCATCTCCCAGGAGTGTCACAAAGACTCTTACTTGAGAAGCTTTAAGACACACTATCATTAAAAACTGGAAATAAGTTTGACAGAACTTATTGATTGAGAAATAATCTATGCGTGTGGACAAAACGAATGATGCAGAAGAATGATATCTGTGTTTTTACCTTTGGTTTCTTTTGGAGCACCGCACAGTGAGTGCCGTTTGGTTTGCTATCTACCAACACTGCCAGGCCTGTTTCAGAAGAGCCATTCCCCAGCCAGTAAGCTCCCTGCAGGGCCCTGCTCATTCACAAGTGCAGAACTTTGCAATGTCCTTGATGGATTTCGTAAGGCCCTTGTCAACCCATTTACCCGGACTGTGTAGATCCACCCAAATGACAGCCCTGCTTTTGAGTGCATCAACTCTTCTCCCCTCTTTGCTGTCATCTAATGTGGGGCCAGAGGTGTATTCCAATTTCTGGGAATGCTGCTCTGAGAACAACATCCTACTCCTTTAGATCAAGTTCCCTGCTATTTCAGGCACTGTAGCACATAATAGATTTTGCAAAATTATCAGAAAACAAAAATAAAAATTACTGAATCTGTATCAACTTCTAAGATAATCTGATATCTACATATATTTTATAGAGAATTCTGGCTGCATTGTTTCAACTTGAATTGACAACCTAAATGGTCACTTCTTAAATTTTTGGAAGTTCAGACAACAAATTAGCCATTATATTCTTATTTCCATTAATCTTGTGGAACAGCATCACCACAGGACATTATAAATATCTTTGAAAATAATGTGATATTCATTTTATGACACATAAAAACTTAACTAACCAAAATTTCTAATACAATATGATCATTCTACATCATGAAGATGCAGGCTTTGCCCAAAAGCAATGGAAAGTTTAACAGCGTGAAAACAAGAAAGCACCTCTAGTAGGGGCAAGGTCATTCCACATCCAAATATAGCCTGGGGAGCTAAACCAGTCTGAGATAATGCCATGATTCATATAATAATCAGAGTACCTTCATTAAATGCATTAGTGAGGCAAATCATCAAACCATACCAGATAATGCATTCAATGACCATATATTTTAATCAAAGCTTTCTTAACACTATTGCATTCAGTGTACACTATGGACATCAGTAACAGTCACACTGTAACACTTTTCCCATCTGATTTCGTTGGATAGAACGCTGATAGAACGTTGAATAAGACAATCTAAAATCTAAAAATAAAGGACATTATTCTAGAAAGACTTCAAATTCTTTTGTTCAAAAGGGTAACTCTTCTTCTTTGAACATCTCACAATCTTGGCTCTGAAAATAAGACAGATTTGAGGAGAAATTGAAGCTGGGTGCCATGAAGATTTTTTGAGAGAACTGAAAGAAACCTAATACGAATTTTGCTGGGCTTCTTTTACGCACTGGGAAACTAAGTGCTTTTTCAGAAAGTTTTAATTTATGTAAAAGTGCAAGAGCCTACCTAAAAAATAGGAAAGAATGTTTCTTTCCCATCCTTTTTAACTGAGCTTTACTAATTTTTGAACTGTTAAAATGAGCTCAATGATACAGAAGTAAGGACACAATCAGAGTTATATTTCCATATTACAAGCTTGCAGTGGAACAGGTTATATTACAACACCTACTAAGAAATATTATTACATGACAAATATATTCTTAAGTGGAAAGAAGCAAGAACAGATCCTACAAAATATTTCCCTAGCTCTCTTAAAAGGAGACAACAAAATCCTAGCTGAAGTTTTCCACTGTAGTCCAACAGAGACAAGAATGAGCTTTTCTAGATTATGTCTATTTAGAATGGGTCACCATCACCTCATTTGCAAAAGGAATGCAGAAGAATTAGGTTGCAGAACTTTGTCCCCAGGCTCACCAGAACCATTAGCATCTCAGCAGAAGCAGGCAATATCAATCATGCTCAGTCCTGTCCTCAGTAAGGCAACACCAAAGAGAATCGATAAGTGCTTTATCAGTGCACTCATAGAGGCCATGAATTAGAGCTGTAACACAAGCAGGGCCTGCCATTCACATATACCTGATATACTGAAATGTAAGTGAATATAAGACCATACGTGCTTTCTTTTCAGTCTTTGGAAAAGCTGGTAAAAGAGTAGCAAGTGTAACATGCGGTTTTTATGGTAGGGCAAATATGTAAATGATAGCTCAGGAAGAAATCAAAGGAAAATTCTGCTCAGTGAACAATGGGAGTACTATTAACATCTTCATTATATTTTTACCCCTGGACCTACGTCTTTTTGAAAGTATTCAAAGCCTGGAGGTACTCAGCTTTCAGTAGTATTCAAAGTTTTAGTTAATCAGACTTTTTCTGTGCATATACCCTACAGAAATTGCTCTGTAAGAAATGCGAAGATTAAAGCTCTGGAAGCTATTTCTAGCTGCGTACAATGATCCTCTGTTAAATCTATGTTAATTCACTGAAATTTGCTAAGTGTTTTAACAAAAGGATATTTTTTTCCTGTATATTTGTTCAATATTATTATTAATATCTACTTGTTCCACAGAGGAATTTATAGTGTTCAGTTCACGTATAATTTCTTCACTGATAGTCTCAGTTGAAAGAAGTATCATAAGTATAAATTGCACTGTCATCTTCTCAGACAGTAATAACACCTTCAGACAAGAACAAGCAATTGAAGAGATTCTATTTGCTAATCAGCAGCCTCTACTGTAATCCACATCTTCTGTACTTTCTTGTGCACATGTTCGTAGTTGTAGGATGTATTCCTACAGACCAAAACCAAATTTAGTCATCAGAAAAGCATGACAAAAATTCAAGATGCTTAGTGATAACTAGAATAGCTTTAGTAAGAGTATCTTCAAGCTATTCTCTATAGCTCCTGAGGGTAGCAAGTTTTAAAAATCTACATGCTGCCTGCAAATATTCAGGAGATACTGGAGAGCTGCTAGTCTCAAAGCATTAGAATTATTCAACTTACTGTTTGACAGCTATGAATTCTAATCCCAACACTGCCTGAAAACAGTGCCTGTTATTAATCATGTGGCAATGTTTAACACATGCTGTTTACTGGGAACAAAATGCAATAGCAGAAACATGCACATAAGAAGCAGAAAGACTGAAACACAGTGTTCATTTTGTATTTGGAACCTAAATATTTTAGCAGTTGAGAATAACTCAATATTGGATATATAAATATATATTTATATATTCACCAGCTCTTGCTATGCTATTTCTTAAGATATTTCCTATGGTAATTCTTGCACATTTGACTCTTATCCTGAAGACTATCCTGAACCTAAGAATGTTTTACCTGTTGGCTAATGCATTCACTTTTTTTCCCCTGAATTTATTTAACTAAAGTTGGAGTTTTGCTATCTGGAAAGTTGATGAAAGCATTATCCATTTTTTTTGTAAGATGGCTCATAGAATTTACATTAAGTTGCATCTTTTAAAATGAACAGAAACACTAAAGTTTAGGTGGGCTTAATGATGTGTTGCTTACAGATTTCAAGGATTTTGGAGTTTTTACTACTATATATAATATACTTCCAAGAGCAATCCTTGAATTTAAAAGCATAATTGACACATTACTTACTGTTTTTTTCTGCATTCAATTGCTCTGTCTATCCTGAACTCAGGCAAGCTAATGAATCCTTCTGCTTTTTCATCCTATCAAAAGGGAAGAAGTGGTACTGAAGAAGAACACACAGCTGAAGAGAAACAAGCAGTAGCCATTTATGTCTTATACAAACAACAACCACCCAACCAACTGAAATGCTCAACACATTTTCCCTAAGATGTTGTTATTGAACATTTAGTTTTCTTGATTTTTATGAAATTTTTATGAAGTAAATTGACTGCTTCTTAAAGGAGCTGCAGTCATCTTAAATTCCCTTTGTTGATGACTACATAAAACCTGTTAGCGCCAAATAAAGCACCTGCTGTAGCACTCAGGATATTAACAAATATCATCAAAAAAAATCTCAGTTTTTTCTTCTTATGGTCTGAACATTGAAAATGTTTTGCGTTAAAGCCACGTTTGTACAAATGATCTGTCCTTCTGGTTCCTACAGTGAGCTCACTGGTGTTTAAATGGAAAAGTAATAACTAGAAAGTACTTCTTCTCACTTTTTACTTCTCCTGAAGTAATTTGCCTGAAAAAGCAAGGAGATACAGTAACATCAATCAGACTGTTGAAAAACACAGGCTGAATGTAAGCATTGTATTAGTCCAAACAAATACTAACTTGGAAGAATATTAACTACTGATATATTCATAACTTTAAGAGAACAATGAACCTCTGCTTTTTATTAAGCTTGGCCTTCCACTTTAAAGAATTCAAAAATTCAAAAATAAGTTCAAGTGAACCAGACATGGCAACTAAAGTGGCTATTCTCTGATATTTATAGACTTTACTCAAAAGAATGATAAAAGTTAAGATTTTATTTAGGCTTTCTCCAAACACAGAGTATACTTACATTCTGGTTTGTGTACCAGTACAAGGAAGAATCCTTCAAAATAAACCAGTACTTTTTCCATTTCTGTGTGAAGTAACCTTTGGCATCCTTTTTCTTCCACAGCCAGCCTTCACAATCTCCATGCCCCAAATCTTTGCAGGAAATTCGTCTTCTGCTTCCACTCGTCAGAGAGCTCCCTGAGAACACAACAGTAGTATGAGACATCTCTCTGAATGCTATCCTTCTCAATATGACCACGTTACTAATTTTAAATGATGAATCAATTTAAATGCTCTACAATTTTGGTTTCTGCATGAATACAAAAACACAAATAACCTTTTTATGTAATGGCTTATTTAATCTTTAGAGGATCTGTTTCTCTTAGGACTGATTAGGATGGTCATCATCATTTCTAAACAAAAAACATACTTCATTTAGTCCTGAACCTGAAACTCATTTAAATAAACATAATCTGTATGTGGTTGTAAACACTACTTTCTCTGTATCTTCTGTTACTATTTGCACTAGGAGGCCTGTCAAATTCTGGAAGATTTTTAGCTCATTTTTCATAGTCAGTATAGTCTATAAGAAAGAGAAATCCATATTCATATAAAAATGCACATCTATATTTCCCCTGTACTGAATTTAATGGCACAATACTATTTGGCACAATACTACCTTGGATCGAGTTTGAATTAACAGTATCATGAAAGGTATCGGGTTCTGTTTGTTAGTTATTTTGCTGTTGTCTTTCTTCTTCTTGTTGTTCTATTTCAACATATTCTAATTAAAAGGCTTAAAATTTTAGTGTCTTTTGCAATTTTTCTTGCATTAGCAAGAACAGTTTTCATAGTTACGGTACCATTTTTCCTTAAAAAGATCTTGGAAATTTCATTTAAATCTCAGACATTTTTTTTCTGTGAAAAATCAAGTCTGCATTGCTACAATAATTATATTTAAGCTACAAATGTGAAACAATTAAGAAGTACAGATGACATCAAAAGATCATCCTTTGTTCCTCAACATTCCCCAGTCAAGCTCTTAATATTTAGCTATTATTAGAATATTGTACTGTGCTATGCCTAGTTTGAAGCATTAGAAGTGTCTGGTAGAAATTAAGGAAAATTTTTTTAGGACACTAAAACATGACAATAAAGATTTCACTGCATATAAATTGAAATGAATTTATTACGCCGTAACTAATTTTCTTCAATTTATTGCTTTAACAGTCTCAAACGGGCTATGAATAGAAAAAAAAATCAGAGCAAAATATACAAAGACTACTTTTCTGCTAAGTCAGAGAAATTTTACCACTGAGTCTAGCAACATTATATCTATGCTACCTTATAGAATCACAGAATCATGGAATGGCCAGGGTTGGGAGGGACCTCAAGGATCATGAATCTCCAACCCCCTGCCACATGCAGGGCCACCAACCTCCACATTTAATACCAGACCAGGCTGCCCAGGGCCCCATCCAATCTGGCCTTGAACACCTCCAAGGACAGGGCATCCACAACCTCTCTGGGCAGCTGTTCCAGTACCTCACCACTCTCTGGGTAAAGAATTTCCCCCTGATGTCCGACCTAAATCTCCCTCCTTTAGGTATTGATAGGCTGCAATGAGGTCACCCCGCAGCCTTCTTTTCTCCAGGCTGAACAAGCCCAGCTCCCTCAGCCTGTCCTCATAGGGGAGGTGCTCCAGTCCCCTGATCATCTTCGTGGCCCTCCTCCAGACCCTCTCCAACAGCTCCCTGCCTTTTCTGTACTGTGGGCTCCACACTTGGACGCAGTTCTCCAGATGGGGCCTCACAAGAGCCGAGTAGAGGGGGACAATCACTTCCCTGTCCCTGCTGGCCACCCCTCTTTTGATGGACCCCAGGATAGCATTTGCTTAAAACATTTGTTTATTTACTTTGGTATTTACTATCAAATTTAGAAATATTGAAATTAAGATGAACTTTGGCATTTGATCAACAGTGCTTATTATCAGTTAAGAACTCTCATTTTCTGCTTTCAGAATGTGAATCTGAAGAAGTTACCTTTCGACCATTTTCTGGATTTTACCCTGAGAGAAGCGTAATGGAATGACTGTAAGAAAGAAAAAAAAAAAAAAAGGATTACAAAAAACTGGTGCATGTAATAGCACTAACATGAAAACCTTTTACTACCACTGCCATGGTTATCTTAGGATTAGTTATCATAGGATCTTATTTTTATCTCTTTTTATTACTATTATAAACATCATAAAGAAAGCAGTGGTAAGGCTACTAATTAAAATCTCATATTTTCTTTTATTAATTATACTTCTTGCAATCAAATCATTAGGATTCTTTGGTCAAATGTATATGCAGTAACTTGAAAACTGAGGATATAACCTAGTGCATTACTATGCTCAAAAAGCAAATGCTTGTGACAAAGTTTTTATCAGCAACTCTGAAACAACATCTTAAGAGTAAATATCATAAAATTAAAATAACTGAGGGTTATAGCTAACAGTAATAAACTATTATCAAGAAATTAATATTTAGAATGGAAGACTTCAATTTAAGCACTATAAGAAACATGCATCTGAAAACAGGACCCCAGCTATCTGCAAGATACAGGCAAAGTTTAGTTTAAAATAAGAATAAAGGGGGAAGGAGTTGTTCTGCACACATTATGACTATTTGTAACCCTCCTGTAACAACAGCCAGCTTACACTACTAACGCCAGACACTTCCTTATTTTTGGGAGAGTTGGCTTGGAGAACACCAGCTTGCATGTCTGACAGGTGACAAGCTCTGTAAGTGTACATTCATAGCATCAGTTGCAGATTTATCTATTTTTTCAAGAGCTACAGAAGACAGAAAGATTAATGCTTGTTCCTGTACTATAGGAAACATAGTTAAAAACAATCAGGAAATAGAAGAACAGAACTAAGTCCATGAGAAAGTATTAAAGATGCACAGCAAAACTGATTTTTTATTAATGTACTATAAGCCCCACCAGCAGAACCAGTCATTTTGCCCAACTGGGTTTCTGTGGTGACTGTGACTGAAACAACCTGTTCAGCCTTCTTCTCTCTGCATAGAAATGCATTAGCATAGCACAAGTTTCTGTTTCTGCAATAAAAATCACCAAAAATTTTCACAATTTAGGCTAAAAAAGTACGTCAGTGAGGTAGAATTCTATAAATCTAATCACATCTGAAAATTCTAATTACAGAACTTCAAGAAAATGAACAGCAGGAGGATACCTGCTTTAGAATACACCCCAGAAAGTGGTATGTATCAGTCAGTATAACAGTTTTAAAAATAAAGTTCAAGAATAACAAAACAAGAACTGAAAATATTTGCTCTTCCAAAAATGTAAGTTACTTAATCTCACTGTGCGTTGTGCGTGCATATATGCAATGTATTAAAAGCAGGAAAACTAGAGAAAGTGAAAGACTTGTGCAAACAAAGGTTTAACTAGCACTGCTAACTTGCATTCAATTCAAGCTTCATATTTTGAGAGAGAAAGAAACTAACTTATAATTAACTTTGTGGTAAACAACTTGCAACTTAGTGTGAGTCAAGTTTGCTACGGGAAAAAGGCTGATGACTGGAGAACACACCATGGTTGTACGCATTTAACCTCCTGACTCAAAACCACAATGTGAAGCAGAATGTTACAGAAAACGCATGTCCCTACCCCCATCTCAGTCAACAAGAAGCACACCATGGAAAAATGGTGACAGAATTGAATCTCTGCTATTTGAAGTTGAATCAGTGAGACCTCAGTGCATTCACAGTGAAGCAGAAAGAATGCTGTTTAGGTGTCACAGAATCACCAAATGAAAAGTTAGGTTTCATTTTAAAAATGCCCCGGAGAACTAGATGTTCAGTCACCTGTCAGGATGAAAGGAACTAAGTCATTGATGCAAGCCTGGTAGCACATAGCTCTGCGATTTTGAGGAAAACTTTAACAAGTTCAGAACATAGCAACTGGTGCATTCATAGAACAAAATACACAAATCACGGAGCACGTAGTGCTGTTTTCCTCATGTTATGTCTATTAGATTAGTTGTAGTACTGTGAACCCAAGGAACTGCAATGGGTTTAAGTGCTTTTCAAGGGAGGCAGCACACAAGGTAGGGATTGGCAGGTAGAGGAAAACCGCAGAATACTTGGTTATATGTCTTCTGCTATGGCCACTGATACTGAACATTGCTGTGTGAATCCTTAACATCACTGTGTGAATCCTTGGGAGGCAGAATGACATCTGTTAGCTTACAGCAGATTACAGCTTATCCACTTAGCAAAAGAAGTCTTGTCAGAGTGAAGAAAAGATACTCTATAACTGAAGGTTGCATTGTTTGTCCTTTTAATGAAATACTTGACAAAATAAAAAATGACTAAGAAGTCTAGATATTTTCTGTTAAAGACCTTCAAAATGGGCACTATGAAACACTGAAAATCTAGATAATTAAAATCCTTGTCAGAGTACATGTATTATTCACACATCTTAAGAGTTTTTAAAATTTTCTTTTCCTTTAGAACATCTTTGGCAGATGTCCCTTTCCAAATTAGTAGCTGTTTACTACAGTTCTCCTTCCAAAACTAATACATCCCTTAGTGGATCTAATACGGTTTCTATTAAACTTAACCAAAAGTACTGCATGCACTTCAGTCAACTGTGGTTGCAGTAGATACTACTCTGAATTTAGAAATTATCCTTAGGCTTTTGCTTTCTTTTGTAAATCCTTACCTTCCTCATGGATGTACTTCCTTGACGGTCAATGGCAGAACTAGCATATCTGGGAGAGACAGGAAGAAAGATGTCAAATAACAACAGGAAATAATATTCTGAATAATAACAAACTCACAAATGCATTTCTAAATGCATTCCTATAGATATATTTGCATTTTCAAAGTTATCTAAAATGCAGCACCTAAAATATGAGGCACATTATTTTCAATGACTTTTGTTAATGTTATTTAAAAACAAAAAGTTATTCTCAGAATTCTGACTCAAAAAGACAAATCATCTCAGAACGTCCATCTCAATAACTAGCTGAACATACTTGAATTTCATCACACAAAACACAAAAGCAAACAATACAGCTCCTCCCTCTTTCAATGATTCTTAGAAGATATAAATCAGAGTTTTTTGTTGCAGGGCTAACTCTTATTTGTACATTTTGTACAGCAGCAGAATTTGCCACAGGTATAATGGACTCCTAGTGTTTATACTAACCTAGGAATGAACAAGTATTTTCAAACAAATAGCAACAAAAAGAAATGCAAATAAATAAATTAGAAACTACGTCTGAGGACTCATTCACATTTTAAAATGTAGTAGGATATGGATATTTACTTGAACATTTGAATGTGACATTTAGGAAACACTTGAATGAGTTCTGTATATTGCAAATTTGGTTCCTTCCCATATCATTACAGAAGAAATTTGATTTATCCTTGGTTTGATAAATAAGCATCTTCCTCCGAGATTTTCTGGGTATTCTATGTAACTTTAGCAATACTTAAGTAGATCTATAAACACTGAGACATTAATAAATACATAACTGTTGTGCTAAATTTGATGTGACTGTCAGATGCTTGCCAGGTATGGAAAGTCTGATCTTTTATGCAGTTCCTTCCCTGCCACCTTCTCTTTGATGCTTCAGAAGCACTCAAAAACAGGAAATTCATAAAGACCACAGCAATTTAGCAGTTAGCTCAAGAAAGATTCTTTAGATCATCAGAAAAGCATAATATTTTTGCAGTACTAATATCCTAACAGTATCTTCTTGGCTGGCAAATGTAGAATGCAACAGTTACATTTGTTGTTGTAGGGAAGTCCAATAACCAATTTTCATGAGCCCAGAAGCAATTTTGATGAAAATAACGAAAACTAATTCTTAGCAAGAAAAAAAACCAAAAACACAAACAAGTGAACTTTCCCCAACTAAGCATGATGTAGGCTCCACTGGCTGCTACAGTTTAATCATTACAGTTTTTAACATCAGTATCCCTGTTTTAGAGATCTCTGTATGTGGCTTAATGTATAGAAAGGCTATTGCTGTGTGCAGTTTCAATTCTACATCCCTGGAGAAGGTCTGGACAAAGTGTCACTTTTCAGAGTATGAATAATGATGAGCATCTTGACACTATGGTAGTCCATGTCAGGTTGGAAAGGGAAATGCCCAAGACTGCAGTGAAAAGATGGGATGCATAACATTAACATTAAAATTACAAGTTAATAATTAAGAGTTTGAAGTTCTGAGCTGCCTGTAGATTACAAGGATTGAAAGAAACAACTGAAAAACAGAGAGGTTAAACTTATAACATTTGGTAAAGGAATGGGCAGAAGCCCAAACCGCTGCAAGGCAGATTTTGTCATTAATGCTCCATTTCTGTCTACCTATGAGAATGCCATAAATGCACTTCCATCCTGCTGGGCATTCCCCCCTGCTTTCTGGTCTGTTACTTTAATCATTGGTTTTGACCCATCTGGAAAGTGTCAGTTTCAATGCTTCTATTCTTTCTCTCAGCCAGTACACAATATGAACAATGCATCTGCCTTTTTATCTGAAAAGTCCTTAGTCAAGTTTTATTTGCTTCCATGCAAACACTGTAATGCATCTCCTTGCAGTAATCATAGACTCTACTTACCAGCAACAATCTTGTAGTTATAGAAATTACCTGCAATCAGGTTTCTGAAAGCTCTTCAAAAGTTAACATATACCGAAAGGTCAGGAATACATATTCTAATGTACAATGAGTGTAAATTTTATTTGGAAACAGTTTTGCAGTCTTGCAGGGTTCTTTTAGAAGGTTTTATATGCATTAAAACTCTTCACAAAATTAAATTATTCCTCAAATATTCAGATCCACAGATAACAGAAGAAGAAATGCTGACCTTTTCTTCTCTTCAGACAAGTAAATTCGCTATGTGGAACTGGTAGAACCAATTAATTTAGACATAAAGGAACCCTAGCATGTCATCTACTTTTTTCACTTTATCTGTACCATGTTTGGTTGGTTGTATCTGTACCATATGGTTGGTTTCCTTTCTTTTAAGGAAAACAGTTGTTACAGAAGTGAAAGAGAGAAGAATAAAGAGAGAGACAAAGCCAAATGGAATGATATCGTTATGACGGCCAGGCCAAATAGTTCTCTTATGAATGCTTGTTTTCATGGCTATGTTTAATATTGGTTTTGATATAAACCAGAAACTTGAAAAAGCAATCTGTTATAATTAACTTACACAAACATAGCAAAAGAACAAATTAAATACCAGGGCTGCTCTGAAATTAATGCCTCTCATTTTATTATATTGGCCCACAACATTACAGGCTGATTTTGGTGGCATGGCAGTAGAGGCTGAACCTTCCCACCAATATCCCACTGTATTTTGTTGCCATGTGACAGCTGGCAACAGAGGGGCAGACTGACAGAGCAGATCTCATATGAATATGTCTGGGAAGCAAAGGGGTGGAATTGAATTCCTCCATGCAGAAAGAATTATGTTCACTGACACTTGCTGGATGTTTCTGGAGACCAAACAGTGGATGTGAGCACAGTGAGGAGGTGGGTGGTGCTTCAGTACTGGCAACAGAAACAGCCGTCACCACTGCAGCATGTAGGCTCTCTTGACTGACAGAAATGGGCAGCTACTGATGATGACTACGTTGAAAAACAGCATTTTGTAGCTGAGAATTCGTTCTATCAGCAGTGCTGTTGTGGTGTTTGTATCTGTCGTGGTTTATATGGTAACAAATAGGAGGCATTGCTTCTGAAGCAACTTACATAAATTATTACAAGATATTTGCAAAATCAATAATTGCATAATGACATACAAAAAAGGCAATGTACAAGCAAATAAACTTTGAAAAAAATTAAATGAAGTTTAATTTTGTTGTTAAACTCATTCTAAAATGATTATTCTCATGCATTTTTCTTCAAATGGATTTCTGAGATTTCTGTTTGATAGAAATGTAAAAAATTAACTGAGTTTTTATATATTCTACCTAGCTGTGTCTCATATACTGGAACTTCTATGGATAAAAAGATTTTCTCCCTCCTACCCACACATTGTAAGCACACTGAAACAAGTATAAAAAGTTAAGAAATATAAAATAAAGGTAAAAAGCAATAAGCACAGGTCAGCACTAAATCTCCAGTCTCAGTATTGCATGCATACTGACTCAGTATTCAATATCCACTATGCTGAACACAGAGTTAAAGTAGAAAGGTTAGGAACAAGCTAAGAAAAAAATGGGAATGTCTGTGACACAGGTGGCAGCAAAACAGAATTTAAAAGATTCGAGTAAGTGCGGTGGCTTCCAACTCACATCTTAAAAGATATGCAAATGAATGTGCAATCAATTGCTAAGGTTTCTAATGAGGATTTCAAATGAAGAACAGTACTATATGATTAGAAAATAGCGATAATGGATTAGAATGGTAAAATCAGAAGTACGAGGGATAGCAGAAGGGCTATATTCCAGTCTTACGTATTTGATAAAAGCTGCAAGAATCTGAGTGTACCATTATACCTGAGGTATTTTTATTGAATGCTGAGAATTGTCACCTATTGAGCACAGAATGTGGAAATACAACAGAACAGAGCTATAATTCTGCATTTTTGCTGTCAGAGCAGTGATAGCCTTTTAAGAGCATTGCTGGATTTATGAGTAGCCTGCATTTTCTATTCATACAAAAAAGTCCTTTTTAGTGAATAAAAGTCACATGGTTCTTCATTTATTAAGCACCATTAAACAAGTGCAACTATGAACACCATCTCCACATTCCTCTTTTCCTTTCCAGGAACATGTTTTCATTTTTTACCATATAAAGATAGAAGCAATGGATCTTCAAATATCACACAAAACTTTAGGAAGAGTGTTCTAGCTCGTAGCATTCATAGGACATCTTGAGAGTCACTACATCCATCATTACACGAGTTAAAACTATCAGAGCAAATTGGTATATCTTATTAGATTCCTATCATTTGGGTTTCTCCACAGGTAATAGGACAATAAATATTAAAATGATGACAATGAATATAGTCAAGAAAAAAGAATAATTTTTTTGAAGTTTACTTACCTTTCACTTAGTCTTCGGTATCTGGAATAGTTACAATCTATACTGTTGACTTTCTTAAACCCCTGATTAAGGGGGTTCTGGCAGTAATGGATAGAATTATAAACTAGAAGCAATATAAAATGATTCTAGTTATAACAAACTGCTAATATATATTTTCCATTGTTCTGAAAATCATTTTATACACTACTTATTTCTTTATTTGTATTTATTTTTTAACTACACAAAGCAATCTATCTTATATTCTGACTATCTAAATCTGTAAAGATTTCCTAATGAGTAAAAGATTCCAGTATGTTAAAAAAAAAACAAAAACAAAACATGGCCATTCACCAGAGCTTACTTCTGAAACAGAAAAAAAGTGGATATTAACTGTTAAGTAGTGCATTTTACTACTGCTGTGATTTAATATCCTCTGATCATTCTGACTGGAGACCTGCCAGGAATGTCCCTACTGATGCACAGTCAACACACAGACTATGTTGAGAGCTTCTGTTGCTGACGCTCTACAAGATGGCTCCTCTTTCAAAAGATTACAAGGATCTCAAGTTTACTTAACAGAAGAGTCAAGAGAGAATTTTGTAGTTGCTGGTTAAATATTATGCACTACATCTGAACATAATCCCTGCTATCGAATGGATATCTAGAAATACATGGATATTCAAAACACAATGCTTGAGTAACACCTTCATTGATCCAGAGCTAAGAGCAACTAGAAAATGGCATATCTGTCACCCTGTTCTTTTTCAATTGGCATATACTTGGGAAATAAAATTATAAATGTAAGCAACATGGAAAAGTCTCTTCAACTTTCATCTCACATTCCAAATTGCTTCAAGTACATCCTGGTTGCAGCTCAAGATTAAAGTCAATAAAAATAACTTCAGGAAAATGAAAGGTCATTGAATATTCTTTTTTTTTTTTTCAAGTCCACTTTTTTTTTCTTTTATTTTTCCTTATGATATTTATGTGGTATACAATTTTGTTTTTTCAAAAAATATATATTTTTAAAACTACATCTGTTCCTTTCAGTAACCACAAATATGGCCTTATACCATTCAAAACTCCTCAGAGATTTGACACGACTCAGAAAAAAAATACTTTTCTATTTAAAATGTCATTCTGACAATGCTTCAAAATTCTCAGCTTCAACACTGAGCAGTTATACTGCCTGAGGGACCTGATTTCTGCCCTAATGCATCTATCACTGATGCATTATTTATTCTAAAGTACCAAGAACATTCTTTTAAAATAGATTAGTTAAATTCCTTGCCACTGTAATTGCACAAATTTAAAAGAAGTGCATAAGAAAATACATTTGTGCAGAAATGTACTGTATCTTATGTGTCATTTCCTTATTGTAGGTTCAGAAGAACATTCATGTAGCAACCACGATCTACTTATGTGGTCACAGAAACCTGTCTTTGACTGCTTTGAATGAATTCATGATTTCTAGTTAAGTTATTAAAATCTCCATAGCTTAATGCATTCCATTAATGCCACAACGAGCAAATGTTCATTGAAAATTAATTACTGAGTATTTTGCAGTGAGATTTGAAATCTCTTCTCAGTTCTACACTAGCTCAGATACTGGTCCAAAATGATGCTGCAGGCTATTGCTTGATGTGTTAGGCATCAGGCAGCTATTTCAGATGCTGGACTGCAGTACAGGAGCATGCAAGTTGACAAAACAACATCCAGACTAAAATTTGTCTCTTTTTCTCTCTCCAGGATTAATAAATAAATCATTTCCAAAATACGCCAAAGCCACTGAGGATATGATAGAAACAATTTTAAGTATTAATATTTAAAAATACAAAACACTTTATGGAAAAGAACCTGAGCCATATTTCCAAGTATAAACAAATTGCAAGTAGTCATAAGCAGTAGTGTTAAAAACTGGTTATTCAACTAGCTGCTGGACAATGAATGAATGATACGATCCTTTTTGGCCTTCTCTTTGCCGTGCAGGCCTGCATGGTTAGAAGGTTAGCAAGATCTTCAAAACTCTGTAATGATGTCTCTTTGAGGAACCTGATCTTTGAGCAATGTGGTCTTTTAAGAAACATGATCTAGTGGGAGGTGTTTCTTCCCATAGCAGGGGGGTTGGAACTAGATGATCTTAAAGGTCCCTTCCAACTTAAAGCATTTTATGATGCTGTGTTGTAGATGCACATCTAGAATCTATAGATACCAAAGCTTCCTATTAGATTTGTTTTTCCTATATTAAAATTATAAAAATTAAGAAGGGCAAATAGGTGTTTTGAAGAACAGCTGGAGAAGCAACTACAGGTTAGATGTATTATTATTATGTATTATTACCACTTTCTCAGCCCTGAAACAATAACAGTTGTAACGTACAAATGTCTCCCTTTTCCTCTGCTCAAGCCTGAAAAACCTTACTAGATCTGCTTTGCATTCCACTCATCTTAAGAATTTTGTAAGGAAGATTCTCTAGTTGTGTATTTCACACACATCTGTTTTTGGCATTTGGCTAGTGTGTGGTTTTGACTAATGTTTTTTGCAACCATTTCCTTCAGTATGCTGTATTTTTATTACCTGTAAGAAGCATCTTTTTGGCCCTTTTTTTTCTTTTTTTTTTTTCCTTCTTTTTTTTTTTTTTTTTAAGTGAAAATGATCATACCACATAACTAACTAACAGATGCAACTGTGCAGTCAAGGCTGCTTCATTCAAATATGTGAAACTCTTTTCCCTGTCCAACGAAACTTTAATATGTGGGATAAAAATTATCTGACAGATCCCATCTATCATTCTGCCACTTAAAAATATTTTTCAAATTTTTGAGAGATGAAACAGTCACATTTTGGACTTGAAATTTAAAATCCATGGGAGAAGGATTAGAAAGGAAAAATCACTCTATAAAAGAAATTAATTTGCCTGGGGCCATAATAGATTTCCAAAAGTTTCCTAAACCAAATGTTCATGGAAAATATGGGAGAAGTCTGGTAGACATTTATGTCCTGTCTACCAAGGATGCTCTGACACATTGAGCATGTGCAATCCTTTCAGAGTAATTAGGTATGCTGACAATTCTGAAATAATTGGCATGTGTACAGTGAGAACAACTATCCTTGTTGTACCTCAGGATACTAGCTATAATGTAGTGAAATGTATAGCATTGAGGAAGATTGCCAGTTTTAAATACTTGATGGAAGCACTGTAAAGGAATTAATTATTTTGTATTCAGAGCAGGGTTTTACTTCATTAACAAGTTTAGGTCATACACAGGATGAAAAGATTTAAAAGAAATAATTATCCACATGTACACGCTGCAACAAGCCTTATTTACAGCATTCTATGATAGTCATAATATAAACTTTATCTTTTAATACGACATATTTGATGAAACTAAAGTATCTGGTACATCATCAAATAAAATGTGAAGGAAATGAAGACAGAAATGACAATAGTATTCATTAGAATTAGTTCATTAAATTCAAATGTAAGAGAAACAGCAGTCCTCATTCTTAGAATTTATCAAATTTAAGACAGTTATAAACAGTAACTTTTGTGCATACTGAATTATATGCTAATTAGAAAATTCTGCTTGCTCTTTTCAAAAATTACATTAGACACACATTTGAGTTTTCATCTTCAGAGTCATTCTGGAAAAAAAAATTATTATTATTATTTTTTTAAATACTGAGAGGCGAAGTCTCATACTCTGTACTGGCACCATTTTTTCCACCTCTTAATTTTTAATAATTTTGCATGCAAAGAATTTAAATAAAGAAAATTCAACCTGTGTAATTTATCTTCATATTTTAAGTTAGGAGGTGGAAGAGTTATGATGTTTGCTCATATTGATGCTTTTCTCACTAAAGCTGGAAAATTTATTCCTCAAATATTGCAACTGAGTTTCTATGAATTAATAAGTACATGTAATTCATAGATAAATTATATCTATTTAAATGCATAAATAACAGAAGAAATTACCTTTCAGTATCTCCACTGACTGTGTCCCCTGCTCTCTGTAGAAGAAAAACAAATAGCATTAAGCAATACTAAAGAGATGCACTTCTTTGGTGCACTCAACGTCATGATGACCGCAGTAGAAGACAACACTGAAGTAAATCACACTTCTCACTTCATAACTCAAAGAGAAAAGAAATGGAAAAGATTAATTTCTATGTAGATGTTATTCTACAATGAAGATCATGTTTAAAGCAACTTACTTGCAAATAACTTCATCTAATGGCATGACGCAGTCAAACTTAAGTAAAACAAGGAGCTAAAAATGTCAGAAGGTCAACGTTTGCAAAAATGTTAAAATTTGAATGGGTGCTCTGGAATGTGTTAGACGTAAAGGAAAATATTGCAATATAGACTTTCAGAAGAAAACTGTAGAGAATTTTAAAAACAATGAGAAAACTGTCATCAAATCTTTCTTTAACACCATGCTTGCATAGCTTTGCATAACTTGATTTTCTAAACTGAAGTTTATTTGGAGTTTGGAATTGAACTCTTTTAGGAGCAAGGATTCAGGATTAAAAATAAAATATTCAAACTCTTTATTATTTTAAACCAAGCTCTCTGGTGGAGTTTTCCCACAGCTAAAAAGCAGTTTCTCATCTTGAAATGCAGAAATTGCCACTTGAAAAATCTTTGACTTTAAATCCTTTCAGAATAACGAAATGGGAAACGGATTCTTTTTTTAGAAGTATAATGCCTGGGGTTTAACATCACTACTTTTGGTACACTGTAAAATATTTAATCTCATATGACCTCAGTAAATAGTTAGAGAACTTAGCTGCATAGTTCACATAACTAAAGACAGGAAGTCTGCTGGTTCTATTTTTAAGTCTGCTGGGTCTGTATTTAACTCCATAGACTCTGAAAAATATATAGTCTGACTCACAGAGATTTCAAATAGAGTTTTGAAATGTTCAGGAGACAAATATTAATTTTGCCACTTCCTTCCTTCACCTCAGATATCATCATATATCATATTTTACCATCACATTTTTACTATAACTCATGGATGGTTTGCCACTGAAAACAGCCAGAAAACCTTAAATTATTAAGTTATTCTGTTAATAAATTAGAGAGGGAATTATGATGCTGTAGTATTTTTAATCTCTCAGAAGTCTTGTTTGTCTACATCTAATGAAATTAAGCTAGTTACCTAGCATGATATCACAAAAACATTTTAGCAGAGCAGGACCTTTAGTCTTCATCTAGAGTGGAACAGTCCCTGTCTTAATTGTCATGAAATTCTAGTATCCCACTTATAATGCCCATCATGCTCTCTCTTATTCTGACACACTGTAGTTGTAGTTATAAACAAATATTTTACAATAGACTTCAAGTTTGCATCCCTACAGGACATAGGGAAATGTTTTATATGTGCTACTACAGCAGCTGACCTCTTTACTAAGTTAACCATGAATTATAAACAATATATGGAAGATCATTTCAATAAGGTAGGTGATGAAGAGTACTGAAATGGCGTCCTCACAGTTAAAAAGAGGGAAGTCTCCCACATACCTTATTAAATCTAGGCAATGACAGGAGCTCTCCATTGAGTAATTGAGTACAGAAAGTGCTAACAGGTTTTCTTGTTTAAACTGAGTGATATAAATGACTTAATCCTCCTTAGAGTATACCTGAAATCTAAAGTGTAAACTACTTATAGGAATGAAAACAGTCTGGAAACATTCACCAGATTTTCTCGAATCAGACTGAGAGATAGCAGCATACAGCTACAGCAAAATATGTGTTTGAAGAGCTTTGGTAAAATCCTGCATAATGAATGTCAGATTTCTGCTGCTGTTAATGCACTATTAAATATGAATGAACTGATCTGATCATCCCTGAAAATAGTGAGAACAGCCGAGTAAAATACATTGTGCGGCCAACCAAGTAAAAGAAATTTGACAGCAGTGCTACCCGTGCTACTTTTACCAAAATAAATTTTATTCATCATAGAAGATTTGTAGTTTTTCTTCTCATATCCTTCTGCCTTATAGTGTTACTAATTTTTGGCCACTAAAAATAGGAAAGTAATTTAGTCCATTTAATTGTTTCCTATTCTAATTCTTAATAGGTAGAGGTCTTTCTTTTCTAAGGCTACTCCAAAATTAAAGTGCTTCCAGATCAGGATCTATTCTCTTTCTCTGTAAATAGGATTCACCCCATACTCCCTGACAAGGCCAACATACTTTTCACTGTTCAAGCCACACTGGCTATCTTGTTTTTATCTCTGGTCCAGCTCTGTAATCATCCTTACAAAATAATGCACAAAGAGCACCTGTATCATGGGAGATCATTTTGGATCAGTGTTCAAGATTCCTTTTGACAAAAAGATTCAGTCAGTGTAACTGCAAGCAAATGTTTGCATTTTGTGAACTTGCATATATTAGACTGAAATAGAAACAAGAGTAAAGTCTGTTTCTGTTAAAACATGTTTTTCTAGAAGTCTTATTTTCTATGCTACTAATTTTCATAAATGTTGAACAATAAAATCTAATTAACTAAAGGATAGTCTGTCATAAGGAAATTTTACAATGGCTCTATGATAGTGGGAAAAGGAAAAGATCATTAAAATCTGTAACTACTCATCGATTATGCAAATTCTTACTGATTAATAGCTCATTGCAATTTAGCACTTTGCTAAATTGCTGTATAGGCAGGAGTGAACAGTTGATATGAGTACGTAAAGGATATTTCTCTTAAATATACTGCATCAGTAGCAATTTAAATCTTATTTCTGACTGCCTAAGTTTTTCTCAGTAATTTATTTATTTTAAAAAATCTTTGCTCCCAACCAATTCATTAATGACACACTTACTATTGCTACTTTAGTAAGGATTACTCCATATTTATATACATACGCATGTGGATGACATTTTATTTGACTAAATTTTTGTCCCCAAAAAGCTGTCATTTGAATGCAATCTCACTGCTAACTTGAAATGTCAACCTTATAAAAGGATTTCTGATAGCATATATGTATAACCAGCAAAACCCAGACTGACATTTTTATAAACGTGTACATGGCTACAATTAATTTCCTTGTGCAATTCAATTGCACGCACACATATTTACAGTCACATATATGACAGACTTCTATCTGCAATTTCATCAGTGTTATGCATCTTTTTTGTGAGCAGTTTCTTCTTAAATTCCTGTGATGTGGAAAACAAATTGCCTTAGCCTAGTTCTCAAATTAAACTTTACTTCATCGTACTAAAATGTCACGTTCCTGAGTAGCAGACACGTGGGAGGCTCACGAAGAACAAGTCTCGCCATGCTGCCACATACTATAAAGCACAAACACTGTGAAATTCAGGTCACTGGCAACTATTGGCCTTCTTTCAAGTCAGCTTTGTATTCACGTAGCTCCAAGAATTTTCAGTGGATCTACTTCAGATTTGCATAAGCAGAAATAGAAGGAGAACGAGGTCTGTACCTGCAATAACTCAACAACTGTTGACCTGAAATTTCTATAAATAATTGAAAAATAAGTGAAGAAATGATATAAAATCACAGGAAAAAAAAGCTGCAGAGACACTATGAAGGTGTTTAAAAGTCACTGTTTACTTGTTTACTTGTGGAGAAGAGTAGAATTTCTTGATAATGAAAGTTACTAATTACAATGATCAAATGAAATATATTCCATCTAGTTATAGCATATATTCAAAAGCAAAATAAAAGGTTTTCCTTTACCTTTATAATAAATATTGTTCCTCCGCTCTTCTATACTCAAATATTTAATGCTCTCCAAAATTACTTCTTCAGCTGCTTCCTGAACTCACATATTCATTATCCTAAGCATTTCTTTACAGAATGCTTGTTCAAAAATGAAACTGTAGCCGTGCTGCCAGGGGCTTTATTTATCTCTCTAGCTCAGTGAGCTGATGCTTAAGCCACTGAAGACGTAACGTTTGCAAAATTATTATGCTCTGCAAAATATGAAAGCTGCCTTTGAGGTTTTTCTTCCACTCCTGTTGAGGGGTGAGATAATAGAGACAGGAAATAATCTTGTGCAAGACACACATGTGAAATTCAAAGAACTCAATTTTTAAGCTGAAAAAAATTGTCACAGATGAAAAAGTAACTAAGGATAGAAAAAAAAATCCACTCAGAAATTTTAATTATATTCTACATTATGGATATAATGTGTATAACAAGTGTATAACAGGTAATAGACAGCAGCAAAATTTTTAAACGTTTTAGGAAAAACATCTAAAAGAGATGACACCCCAGATCATAGATGAGATTTTAAAAGTGCTCTAGGAGAGCATCTAAAAGCAGGCTGTCCTTTGGCTAATGATTTCTCATGTAATAAATAATAAAAAAAAATCCACAAAAGGCCAAAGCACAGCAACTGACAGACTGTATTTTGTATTGACTGAAGTCTCTTTCTCCTCATCAATCCACCCCTTTAAAGGAAATTTAAAGGAGGTTGAACCTGAACATCAAAAGATGTAGATAACAAAGAAACAAAAAAGCCAAAATAAAAGATCTAATTTCTTCAAAAACTAAGCATAAATACAGCACTCTAAAGAAATTGAGGGTTTTTTATACAATAATTGTTTACTAGCAATGCTATATACTAGCAATCTAAATTTTACACAAGATGTACAGCAGCTAAAGAGACACTCATTTGAACTGTATGCTAAAGTTTAGAGAACAGAATTCTATTTCATTACAGAAAAATTACAAGATAGAGTGAATTTTAGGCTAGTAGTACTGAAGTTGGTATAAAAGATCACAGACATGAAAAATGTACTGCAGTTCCTTCTGAAAAGTCAATGTACAGAGCCCTGGTACAGCTGGAAACCCAATCACATGGAATTATGCTGCTAGATATGGAATGTAGTTTTGAACTGTAAGTTTCTAATGTCAAGAAGCACAAATATTTTCCTGTTGAGGAATTTAAAAATTTGACATGCAGACAAATCACAAAGCAGTGATTTTCCTGCACAAGATTTTATGGGAAAGGTAAAGGAAGCGGAAGAAGAAGAGC